AATATCTAGTCTGTACGTTTTAGCAGAAACGGAATCCTCAAAACTTTAAAATCAGATCGAAAGCTTTTATATTAGCTGTTTTTCGATGTCTTTAGGTGCCACCGGCATTTGATGTTTAGCTGTCAAAAGGTCTCAAAGATGAAAACGTCTGCTCACAACATAGTATCATTGAAAAACCGTGCAATTAAGGGATTGGTTGTCTTTTTGTTGAGATTTGACTGTTTAAACATCAATTCTGTACACGTAGGATCCAGCTGTAACCTTTCTCGAATATCACGTGCAATGAGGAAGCCCATGGGCTATTTGACAGTCTGGTGATGCACAACCGTATAATTTTTTTACTTTATTGGATTTGTACGGAGGTACCTGGCATTGTATTGTTTGGTAAGACGTGGTTATGTCATTGCAGTCGTTTTGACCACTGATCATGTTGGTACTGCCATACTGAAGGAGGTCAGTGTAAACATTATCTATCGGTTTGACTAAGTGGGTACCGTGAATCTCAGTGTTGGTCGCATTACTGTTTACATATAGGCGTGTGCTTCCATGACGAGGTATGCATTCACGTCCCTCAGAAAATTGTAGGCACTGAGGAAATCAACCTCATCGGGCGTATACTTTATGTAATAACTAAATATTGATATTTCGACTATAAATTAACATTGATTAATTGGAAGAAAGAGGATATTAAAAGTAATTATTCGAAAACCAAGAAGTTGCTACGTTGCATAATATATGAAAAAGAGAAGGAACAGAATATTTCAATGGACAGTCAATGGAATAGTAGTTATGTAAGAATCGAGAAATGAATGTCGAGAAAATTACAAAATTCAAAAAGATAACAAAAAAGTGAAAAAAGTACAAAAAACAGTTCTGCTGTAAGCACTCTTATACCGATGGCCAAGGTGTCGAAAGTGGTTGTACAAACTTTATTTGAATGAAAACTTTAGATTTGGGAACATGGATTGCGATGGCTAATTTTATCCACGCCCTTAAGTACTTCGTATGGCATTCTCTGAAGCCACAATTCTTTTGATAACTTCTCAATCAACTCATGTGATATCATCATGTGTTTCACATGTCGTAAAAATTGTGCCACTTTCCTGTTAGTAGGGTCTGATGTAATTAATAACTGTTGTAGCCTTTCTTCATAGGAGACTGACGTACACTGAATTACCGCTACTCTATGCTTATTTTACGGTGTTTTTCAGAACTTGGTCAATCAGACCCTCAAATTATGCATCAGTGTCGATCAGCAGCCCACCTAATGCGTGTACAGATCTGGTTGACACGCGGCTAGATTCGTTACGCTAAAAACAAGGCTTTTATTTGGGTGGATCAGACCTATGGATTGATCACGTCTGAACTAGAAAATAATACGTGTAGGAGTTAATATTGACACAGTTGTTTAGGGTGAATCATGAGGAAACTTTACGTAAAAATTATTAGCGTCCATGTATTTACTTGGTAATCAATATATATGGGTTCTACTTATATAGGAATAAGTAGTTAGTAACGCTATTCAGGAATACAGTGTCTGGCAGCAGAAGGTTGAGAACATCGAGAAGACAAGAACGGGGACAGAAAGAAATTGGTATGAAAATGGAGGAATAGTGAAGTCTGAGACAATTAGTGAACATTTTGCAGATGAACAATCGGAGCATGGTTTTTATATTTTTATCAAGTGCTAAATATAGTCAGTTGTTCTCACCTGTGTTCTTTTTCACTACAATGCAGAAGTGGTCGCACTCTGTTCCCTGTACCTACTCTTACCAGTATATTTCTCCGATAACGTCGTTTGTGTTGTACGCTTATAAGAACAGCTATAGTATATCAGTACGATGAAAGTGTAATTCACGTTACGTACTAACCGCGAGGTGTGACTTCGAAGTTGGCATGCTGATTCAACTAGAGTATGCACGCAATCATTCGATACAGATAATCTACGTCAGCGATCTAAAAAACCTTGGCGACTGTATGTTTGCTGGTCTGGCCAGTGTTTCAAAGATAAAATTCTTTCTGGCCCGTTGGTAATCGTATGGTTGCCTATGTTTGGTTCGCTCTTTTCACGCTATAAAAACATTATTCCACAACTCTTTGTATACTGCCTCCTGGTGTTACGCTTTTGGCGTCAGGCGAATTATAATTTTACTAGTATATGGGCAGTGCGACCTAACTCGTAAAACTCACCTTTGACGTCGGGATAAATCTATATACCTCAAAAAATTAACCATGGGCAGAAAGCAAGGTTAAAATTAGGTATGGATTTTCGGGCCATAACCTCGAATCGTATCACAATTACTGTTCTCCGAAACTACTTTTTATTCTTTTCCACTATTTAGACACTGGAGTTACCGTTTTATGACATCTTTGTAATTTGTGTTACACATGTTACTTCGATATACTTGCATTATTCGCTTGATTTATATTTTTATTCCTTGTAGTTACCACATTTAATACTGTTTTATAAGACAACTACTTTCTCGTGTTTTCAAAGTCCAGTTAAGAGGCTGTCCTTTATGATTACTTTTTTAAAAGCCCACCATACCATCTTGTGATTCGCATGCTAACATCGTTTATTGCTGGCCCTTAACATCAATAGTTATAGAACGAAAATGGAGTGTCTATTCGATGATTCTGTATAAGTGTGGCTTTTGTAGTTTAGTCTGCGGCTGATTCGAAGTTTTAGCACATGAATTTGATTACTTCTCATTATCGTGTAGATATTATGATAAAGTCTGTGGTAGAACAGTTTTATAAACACTAAAATTCTGAAGCCTTCGAACAGAGTAAGGAAAGTCTTAAAATCTTGAGTATAATCAGGAAAGATGTTAAATGTTATGAAGATATGTTTAATTTCCTCACATGTGTCGAAAAGATACGGTTTACTAAAAAATTGGAATTACCAGATAGGCTTATTCCATTTATTTTAGACTCAGATTATAGTTGGCTTCTTTACAAGCCTAACAATCATTTATGAAATGCTGTTTGCTCACCAATCTGCTAGTAGTGCAGATTTTTCTGTGACCAGTTTTAAAGCTGTTTACTGTCATGAAACTTAGTGGTGATATGGTCAGAGCAGAAGTTGCTTTGGTGACAAGTAAAAGTAAACGTAGCTTTGGTTCCCAGATTGATTTTTTATTCCACCAGAACACCAAAAATAAAGGGTGACTAAAGAGTTGTCAAAGTTTCATCTGTTACGCATGCACTTAATTCAGCAGGCTGTTAAAAATGAGTGTAATCCGACCACAAATAACATTCCGCACTGCATGTAGTTTTTTTAAAAAGACTGGGAATATGATACTATGATTAAGTTGACCATGTTTTATAAATACATTTCATCACTACCCAAGCTTTCCAGAACTCCACACAATTTTAACAAGGGTTGTTATTGATTACAAAATTATTGCATGAGAATGACATAAATTTTCTGGTACTCTTTATTCCTGCCTAGATGACACACTGGCTGTTGCTCACAAATAGACTGCCGCTCATACACCCCTTTTCTAACTTAACCAAATGCCGCACTGACAGACCACAGGTATAATTGCAAAATGCATTTACACTTTTTTTTCTTTACCGGGTTACTTTGGGTAATATACCATACGCGAAACTGCTTAGTAATTATGTTTGTCATAGATCTATTGGTCAAATCAAACACTATGCATTTAAGAATAAGGGAAGCGTCCAATTTTTACTTGTGTATACATCTCTAACGTAAATGGTCCGTGTCGGAAAATTGCGGCCTACTTTATTTGGATCAACATGCCAACGTCGAAGTCACACCTCACGGTTAGTACTTAACGTGAATTACACTTTCATCGTACCGATATACTATAGCTGTTTTTATAAGCGTACAACACAAACGACGTTATCGGAGAAATATACTGGTTAGAGTAGGTTGTGGTGGTTCCCAAATAAAGGAGTTTATACAAAATATCTCGATACACTAGGTTAATAATGACATACCAAGAAAACTAGTAGTAAAAATCTTAGATGTCTGTCTGTCAGTAAAAACCAAAGGTAACAAAATACAGTTAGAAATACAAAAAGTATATTAAACAAACAGACAATAACAGTTACTATAGAATGAATGTTACTTGTGAGCTGCTTCGTGAGAACAACAACCACAAACTGAGTTCACTTGGTTGACAGGTGTTCTTCTGCAAGTGACTGCACCAATGACGTAATGAGGAAGACGGAGTCCTCGCCAAAAATCCAACGTAGAGTCGGAAGGCCTATAATGATGTTATAATACTATTATAGTCTTCAATCGAAACGGTGGCCAATAAAACAGAAGAACTAACGGCGTAGATGTTGTTTTATATTTTAAACAACGCGGTAGTAAAATCGTATACCATTCATCGAAACAATTATCATCTTTTTAACAAGTGATACAGCAAAACAACGAATATTGAATAAAAATGTGGTTACAAATAAAGTGTGACAAATTAGAGGAAAAATGTGGTTTTTATTTTGTTGTTACAAAAAATCACTGAATATAAGTCACCATAAGGTACAGGGAACGGAGTGCTACCACTCCTGCATGAGCCAGTCCATAGTGTGCAATTAACTGGTGCGCGTTGGTTTCCCCTGACCTTAACAACGATCGATGAATCGTTCGTCATTCAGTGACATAAGTGTAGTATGATTTGGCTAGGGCTTAGTGCCATTTCACTGGTCCAACATGTTGATCTACATGTTCAAAAATGTGCAAGACAAGAAAACTTGAACACTTAGGAGACTGTAGAAGTATATAAACTGGTTATATCAGGGCATTACACTTGAATTAGTAATGCGGATTCGTTCAGTAGATCATATATATATTACTCAAACTGGTAGCATTACACAAATCATCAGATTGGTTATATAAAACTTCTAATGTGACATCAACGATGCATAGGAACAACGTTTCTTTTCCGTAAATATTCATGATTTTCAGAATGTTTTGAAATTTGTCATGAAACACGTCCTACAATCTTATTCAATATTGAACATCCAGTGTTTCAATGCGTCTTGTGTTTGACGGTACTTCGTCTTCTCTTCGTTGTTTTGTTATCTACAAAAGTCTGGTAGTATGTTTTTTCTGAAGGTAATATCGTTGCTGGGACCAAATTAGGAGTATTTTTGTCTGGCAACTTATTTTTGCATGTTTGAGATTATGTGGTTCAGTATTTTGCTTGTTGTAAGTGATAATGCTTTCGTGTTTTATTTCATCTTCATTTTAATGGGTTTTATTATTGTTGCTGTGATTCTACCTGTTGTTTTCTTCCTATCAGAAACAGCCTAAGTGGCCTTTCAAATGAGACGACAATATGGTTGAAATCGATAACGCTGATCATACCAAATTTGAGGTGGTTTCAGACCCTTCTGCTGTAAACATCCACGGAACAATCACAGGACCCCATTCGGATCTAGAAATGCGAAACAAAGTAGTATGCTGCCTCCGTGAGCTGCTGCATGTAGTTCAGTCATCTTATCATGAAGATGTCGTCGAACTAAACTTTATACAAAGTGGTTCTCTTCTTATTGAATTTTATGAATGGAGGCGAAAAAAAACACAAGAATTAATGCAAGCACTTTGCTCAGGTCATCTTGACCCAGAGGACCTTTCCTTGGTCAGTGATTACATGTCGGGTCATGTCAATAGCGATGCTATTTTCCCACCGAATGGAGCTTTTCCTCCTTGTTTGGGTTCCCAACCAGTCTCTTTGGATAATGACTCAGAGGATGACGAAGACGAAGTAAGTTATGTAGTTACACTATTTGTAAACTTTCTTGTGAATCTTATATGGGTGTTCAGTGGCCGCAGTTATTCAATCTAATTATATACTACTCGTAGGAGTGTGTTACTGTACCATATATTCCAATAAAAATGTTAGGACAAAAATATCGTCTTATTATCAATCATAAGCTCTTGTTTGTCTTCAGTGTCAAGACAAAGGAACGAACTATGGACTGTTGTTATTTTCAGGCAGTATTAAACAAAAACGTTTCAAATCTTTTCTCGTCAAAAGTGTGCATGTTTACATTGACAAGATTTTCGGTAGTTCTTGGAACTTAAAACAGGTGTTCATATTGAAAATGCGCTTTGTTCTGTCTATTGGTTTATTCAGGTTACCACCAGAATAATTCTACTCTTTCCAAATAACTTGTTATTATCATTTATAGTAAGTCAAAGCTTACTTTCACTGTTATTCCTCCTGTTTGTTTCTGTGGTTCAGTATTATTTTTGGCTAATTAAAGTGACAGGTGCCTTGCGCCAGTTCCTTTTCCGCTTATGTATGTTCATATTCGTGTACACTAATTAACTCATACCAATGTTCCGCATTGTTATCATACCTTTGATGAATAATTTCACAGAAAATATTAAGTATAAGTTACAACCCATCTGATTAGTTTGGTATCGACCCGGACATTAAGCCATAAACCTCAAAAGCCGTTGAAATCTCATAGTAGTCGGCTAACGTACCAAAATGAAGTAATGGTTTAATCCGATTTGACTAAATAAGGTGGTGAAGTTTTTTAAAGTAAAGGTTATTTTTACAGAAACAAAGAGCATGGCGATTTATTTAAGTTGGTATACATTCCCATTCTTGGTTAAAGATTTAAAAGGGTACGGAATTAAATTAGTAGAAAAGTTGAACACTAGTTTTGATATGATCACGATGAAAGTCACTTCATTATCTTACTAGATGAGTTGTGTTGCCTAAATAGGGGTTCTCGAATTTTGAGAGCTTGCAACAGTTATATGCGCTTGGTCGACATGATCGTAGGAATAAAGATCGTGAAAGATACTGGATACAACCACTTTTACTATAAATTTTAATAAATTCTCAGTCATATATTTTTCACAACGTAATATGATCTATCTGATATTTACTGTCTTGCAGCGTCGGCTGGACGAGAATTCCCTACTGAAATATGCAGTAGATGAAGTAAGCATTCTTAAACGTGTCCTTGAACTCAAACGGGATGGCTTATGGTCAATCGACGATTCATCTTGTGGAACGACAGAAACTGGAAGTATCGATATCTCAACCAGTATTTCTTTAGTTCCACCTTCTGAGCCAACATGTCGTACTTACAGTGATTATATGTTTGCAGAAATTAATTGGTTAGCTGAAGATTTTAAGCGTGAACGTCAATGGAAACGAGTGTCCGCTAAGAAAGTATGTTTATTTTTATATGTTCACATATAGAGCTATTATAAAGTTTCAATGGGTTGTTATTCATGTCTCATAGATCTTTCAATAGTATTATCTCGAATATTTTACTACATGTTTTTACTTTTCAAGCTTGCCCTAACCGCCGTCAAATGTTGTCGAGACAAGAGTGAACGAGCGTTAAAAATAGAAAAGGAGGAGGTGGTCCGCATTCGGAAGATGTGTTCATTTATTGCTAGGATGGTCCGTGATTGGTGGCGTCAGATGGATAAGGTATATGCTACTTACAAGTTTTTCCAGGATTGACTTAAATGCAAAGTATTTTTATTTCGTTAGGTTCTCATATTAATCTGCACTAATATTCGTTATTGCTCTCTTTAAGATGATAAAGGGGATTATGTATATGATATGTTTTTCCTGTCAATGTTATCTAAAAGGAATCAAGACCTTAACAAAGCCGATTGGTCGATGAGAGTTATTCTTAGTATTACACATTTTTGTAGTGTCACCTTATTCAGGTTTCAACATCCCTATTCAGTTGGATAATGCATTAGTGCATTTTTGATAGTTTGTGGGTTCAAACTCTTGAAATAACGAATATAATATCACCATTTGTACAAAGCAACTCAAAGGCGATTAAAAATTGCATAATTTATTGCTACATCTCATTAAGTTAATATTTGACTAGTATTCTACAACTCATTTTTACAAGTTTTCACTGAGTAAACACTCCGTTTGAAGTATTTTGGTTAGCGCATATCTCTCATTAGTGTTAATGCATTGTTAAGTGAATAAAATTGTCTTTTGGAAGTATTATCTAAAGCGGGATCTTTATCGTTACTTTCAATTACGTGCAAGTTGTCCTATCTCTAGCAACAAGAACAGTATAACCCCCTATTTCATTCATCCCTGAGCCTTCTCATCAGATGACTTAACTATTCCCGTGCTAACCAGTAGTCCTACGTAATATTATTTGTGTATCAAACAAGCTTTTAATAATGACCGTCGGTTTCAAGAGCTATTTTTGCCTTTACACTTAGTCTTTATGATCTAGTGACGTGTAACCTAAAATATAGTGCTTTTTCAAGTGTTGCTTTAACTACCTCACTGTTTGTGACCTCGGTACTTAATATTTTCAAACTTGTATTATATAGATTGTTCAAGCCAAACAACAAGTACGATTAACTGCTAAACGTCAGCAAGCCATTAGTTCACATCTTGGTCAAGTACTTGAAACAACTGAGGAGTATACTCGTTGGTTGACTGAAGGAATAACCAGTTCTAAACAAAAAAAAACTACTGTTAGTAGTACTAAATCATCTGGAGACAATAGTCAAAACGAAAATGTATCAGATAGTGAACAGCGCATTCTGAAATCTCCTGTAAGGGAACTCGACACCTCCGATGAAGAGTTCACCGTGAGTTACTTTTTGAAAACGCTTTATCTCTCGTCTTCATTTTTGATTTTAACATTCTGACTACTGCTAATGTAAACCTTATTTCGCGGTATATATACTGTTACCTTTATGAATAAATCTTCGAAGGGGTTAAAATGTAATGTGGTTTAGTTTCAAAAATAATTATGAAGCAGAATGTTGTGCAGTCTACTTTTAACTGAAGTTAGTAGTAATTTTGCGTGAGATTACTTTAAATCTCAGCAATATTTAATGGTACATTGACAAAATGAAGTGTCATTTTTGGTGATTGTCTACTTTTCTTGGTATCACTACGCTTACTTTAAGGAACATTTTAACTACTGAGTTTAGTATCTTTATATTACTTGGTGGAAAGCTAGAACCCGCTTCGACTGAAGAATTAATTATATAATATATTCGGTCCACCTTTAAATCCTATCTATATTAAACATCAGTAACTAAGGAATAATTAAAAATAATTAAATGCTAAACGAGTTTTATAATCATTCTTACCGATGATAACTGCGTGTTTGAAAGTCTCCTAACGAAAATTTTGAAGGTCTATTTTCGGCATATTTTACGATTTTTGAGAAGCAACGCATTTTCGAATACTTCAGTGATATATTACCTGTGTAATTGAGTTTTTCATCTTCCTGAAAAAGTCCACATTATCGACTTTGTAACATGGTTAGGCATTAAAGCTTCTGTATGTGTACTGTATTGTCACATAACTCACCAACTATTTCGGGCATGGGTTACTGCATTGACTGTGTCAATTTTCTATCTTGGTTATAATAAGATTTTTGTTTGTATTTTTGTGACGTAATTACCCGATTTTTTTGCCCTTCGGCAAAAAACGGTAATACTCAATATGTTCTACATCTTTTCGTATTAACGAAGATTTTTTAAACGTCTTAACTTGTTTATCTTGCAGGCAGATGAAGTAGCTTTGAATGAAGTTGATGATGAAGAAACCATAGAGCAGGAAGAAAGAATCGCCATAGAGGATCAACATGGTTCTGAGACGTCTACAGCTGTGGAGCTTGAACAATTAGCAGCTGATGCCGACTGCCCATTGGAAGATCTTTTGCCTCCCGGATATCTCGAATTCATCACATCAAATTCTCCAGTGATTTCAGAAGTACAACATTCGTCAGCCAGTGAGGTTAGTGTTTCTCTCGAAGGAATGACTTTCAAACTTATCCATTGGGTGAAGTCAAAATAGAAATATTTTCAAGACAGTACCTAGTTTTCTGGACTATATGTTTTTCTTCCACATGCTCGTATTTGCAATTGCTCGCACATATTACAGACATGAATTACTTTACAAAATCCACGAATAAACAGGTTTTATGATATTCTTTTATGCATCACGTTGTTTAGCCCTATCGGTTGTGTAGATTTCTTATTCTTTTGCTATAAAATGAAACTAAGTTACAGTTGTTTTTCGCTTCGTCACTATTATTATTTTATTTTGTTCAGGTTAAATTACTAGAACACCCTAGTCTTATGTTTAAAACGGTATTCCGTCAACTGAAATTGATCCATCAATTCAAATAAAAAGTCGTTCACTGGATTTTTCAAATTAATTCGTTTTCTGTCCTCCTTTCTGGTTTATAAATGAGGATTACTATTTTCGGGTGCATACTAATAATTTTTTACTTTGCTACTTCAACTGATGGTAGAAATTTATCTCATGAATTACTCATATTATTATTGATTTTCGCAGTATCGGTTCAGTTTAATGGGTCTCGTTTATATATGTTTTATAATTTTATATTATTATCCTTCCTTACATACAGGTTAAGGATTCTGGCGAACCATACAATAAGAAAAGGATAGAAGCTGATGCAGTTTGTCAGGTCATCACATGCTCTTCTGAAATCCCTAACGAATGTTATTATCAAGAGAAAAGTGAAGAAACCAAGTCTGGAGCTAATGTTTCTGTTTTTGAAAAGAAAGAGTTAGATGTGCCTAAATTGGAAGTAAGTCTATCAGTGAAAGAAACAATGATCAATTTCGCTAATAAGAACGAATCCAACCTTGAAATCGCCTCAAACACGTTTGATTTAAAATCAAACTCACAGTCTCTACCAACTAAAGAGATTGAAGATACTGATAATGAAGTGGAACTAGCGAACTCAAATGTAAACGAGTGTCCATCAGTAGAAAGGGGTTCTGAAATAACATTAAAAAAGGTTATGGATCATGACGTGAATGCTAGTGTAATGGAAGCTGAAAGTAATACTAATATGGTTCTCACTAACAATAAAGGCGAAGAAACACAAAAGTCATCCTGTCAAACATCTGCATGCGAACCAATTATTAAGGTAATTGTTTTAGGATTAAATTTGACTTTATGTGAGCTTTCCATGTTAATTTCATTAACTAAAACCTATTATTCTACGTGTAAATCGTATTTATTTCAAGACTAAATATATTCTCCACTTATGGTGTGTGTACACAGTTTCTAGTCGTAGTCTTCTGTTTTCAAAGTTACCGGTGTCGGGTCTAAAACATTCTCGTACAATTATCATCTAATTAAGATACTTTCTTAAGCTTGTATTCATCAGTTCCACTAGCATTTATCTTTTTTTTGTAACTGTTCGGATTAAGTTCATATTCATTAACCTTGTGCAGTTTAATAATTATCTCATTCTTCTATATGTATCATGATTTCTCTGAATTTGAACCATGAGGCGTTTCTTGAGTTAATTGGACTAATATGACGACTAATTCAGGACTCTTAAATGTCGTTAGACACTGTTGTATCTTAGTTTGTTACTAACCTACAGTAACTGGTAACTACGGAACGATGGAGATTCTTCTAACAAGAAGGCGAACTAATGGGGACTTAAACTGAGTGTGTCACACAACAACACTTCAGTGTTAATGGTTTACACGCTAATCTGAGATAAAGGCGGGATAGCTTTTTATTCCAAATAGAAGTCAAAAATTAAAACGGAACAATTCTGCTTATATAGAAACACCCAGTAACCTTAGGACAACAATTAGCAAACTGAAAATGGCAACAGCCAACTAGATAACAAAAAAGTCGTTACGGAAATATATATTAGAACGATGTAATCAAGGTTATCCCTTAAAAAAGAATTAATATGTAACAACAAAAAACTAACCTAATCTCTTCCTATTAAAATCATATACTTTTGAAAGTAGCAGATGTTTTAGGTTGTAACGTATGTAAAGCACTAGATTTTTTGTGGGATGTAACGTCAGCATTGCTTAAGTGAAGGACCCATCTATAACTAGATTTGTGCTATTTTTGTTCACAAACTTTTGATTTGCGTGATTACGTATATTATTTTCCTAAACAGTGAAGCCTCCATTTTATTAATTTTTTTACAGTCTACAACGAATGAAGGAAAGAACACTTCCTCAGGAGTTGGTTTAACTACAGTATCTTCTCCCTTTCTCCTTTCCGGTGGAAATCTTAGGGAATATCAGTTAGTTGGCTTGTCTTGGCTGGTCGCCACTTATGACAAGCGTTTAAATGGAATCCTCGCTGACGAAATGGGTCTAGGTAAAACTATCCAAACGATTTCACTACTCGCCTATCTAGCTTGTGAGCGAGGAGTTTGGGGGCCTCATTTGATTGTTGTTCCAACTAGTGTTATTCTTAATTGGGAGGTGGAATTCAAACGTTGGTGTCCGTCTTTCAAGATCCTGACTTATTTTGGTAACATGAAAGAAAGAAAATGTAAAAGGAAGGTCAGTTTATGATTTCAGACACAGTTTGCTCGTTAAATAACTTTGATAACCTCAGACATATTCAAAGTTTATAATTTGCTTTTAGGGTTGGACGAAAACAAATGCTTTTCATGTATGTATAACATCATACAGATTAGCTATTCAAGATGCAATCGCTTTTAAACGTAAAAAGTGGAAATATCTCATTTTAGACGAGGTAATTGATTCAAATTTTGTGTAAAGTGTTAGCTTCTTTCTCTTCATCGTTTTACACTATGACATCATGAAAATCAAAACATTTAGTGTGAGTACTTATCAAACGATTTTATAGGTATTTGTTGCAGCTGCATATGATCATACACCTCATACTAATAGATTATTAGTTCAGTCATCTTACGGTTATTCTATTTATCAGTACTTCAAAAATTAGGTCTATTTCTGATTGCATGATGTTATGAAAAATCAGTCAAGTGACTTGTAGCTAGTTATCAACACAGCCATACATTTTATGGATTTCTAAAATATGTTCTGGTTGGTTTCCCGATTTGGAGTTGGAAAGGTAATAGGTCTTTCTCATCTAATTCAGTTACTCCTATTACTTAGTACTCTTCGGATCCTTAACGCCAACCATTCCCTAAAATCAGAACACGGCTTGGCCAGGTACGTAGTCATATTCTAAATAAATTAATTTGAGTGGTAGTGAATCACAATGAGAAAACTTTATGTTCACAATTTTATACAAGCAGGTCCTGGAGTATGATGCTAGCACTAATTAACTGAGAAATGGCTAATCAGCGTGCTCTAACACAGTCTTGCACGGAACATTCTGAGCATAAGTCACCTATCTGTTACCAGTGCTCGTTAGGACCCGTTTTTGGTCATACCGAGTTAACGTCAAACAGTATTTGCTTAATTTTATAATTACGATTAGGTGTTCTAAAGCAGAAAATTAGAATCATAACTAGTATCTCAGAGTGCCATACTTCAAACTTTTCATCATTAGATTTTACTTGTTGCCCGTAGTATTTTGTTTAACTTTCTTGGTAATGTCAAACTAAGTATTTGGTAAGGACGGTATTTTTAAAACTCTGGCGGCTGTTTGTGTATAATGAATAATCTACTTCCGACAACTATTCACATCGTACACCATTTCATTACCGCGTGCTGATGGTCTGTATGCATTTATTCCCTAACATTTATCCAGGCGGATATCCTTTGTCTACCAGAGTTTTCTCTGTTATCCGCTTTACACGTGTTCTTTTTTAACTAGGTTCATAGGTTTGCATTTGATTACTCATTCACGGTTTGTTAAGACTTCTGAGGTTTAGTTTGTGGTATTTTATTCAGGCTCAAAACATAAAAAATTTCAAATCTCAACGTTGGCAAACTCTGCTTACTTTCAATAGTCAGCGGCGTTTACTCCTTACTGGTACACCATTACAAAATTCATTAATGGAACTTTGGTCCTTGATGCATTTCTTAATGCCAAATATATTTCAATCCCATCGGGATTTTCAAGAATGGTTTGCTTCACCCATTACAGGTAAGCCATTGTATTACTGCTATATATGTGTTTGATATCCTCTTAATGAACACCATTATAGTGCGAAAGAATATACCTACTGAACAAACATGATTTTACTAAATAAGTTCTGTTGAATGTTTAATTTCCTTTATTTTCTGCATACGACAACTTATAGACATGATCATGTTGATGGAAAATGAATATTGAATGTTTAAGTGTTATATATTTTTTAAAAAGATGTAATTTATAAACTGGTTTTATTAAATGTTCACAAATGATATTAATAATCTGAGGCAAAATTTGTAATCAGGGGTCATAGCATTTTAGAGTACATCATTGCTATCAAAGTGTGCACTGTATTAGGCATCAGTCTTATATGTTTACTTATTTATTTATTTAAACATAAACATTGGTACAAGAAGGAACCAAATAGGCACGTGCCACACAAATCATTTGTTTAAAGGTTTGGGATACTTCTCTGGTGCCCAAAGTGAAGCAGGTGCTTTTCTTAAGGAGCCAAACCCGAAGCCTTCGACCTAGAGGTTTGATCCATAAGGCAGTGGAGCAACGTCAGGAGATACAGTCCTATGGTAGCCGGTGACCAATAATTGGTTCATATGCCGTTTGTTGCTTTAAGATACTAGGGCCCATGTACACCATTGGTTTGGGATCAGGGTTTTCCAACTCCCCTAGATGGACTCTCCGTGTCCAATATCCCGGTTAAAGTGCCGGCCTTTCGTTTTTCGTCCTCTCAGTTTCGTGAAAGACATCCCCGCCACGAGAAAGCAGTGAGTAGGACTTCCCTGGCAGCGGCTGTATACGCGTGGTCATATGAGAGAATTTCGAGAGGGGGAGCTGACTCTCCACGCTCTCGGCCATACCAGGGCATTTGCGGGCAGTCTTGTATACACACAGATGACTAATAAGTACGTTGAGAAAGTGGCATAGCTTCCATATAGTGAGCGTTTTGGAATGATATCGTATAGAACTAGTATTTTCTTTGTAGGAGATTTTAGGTGTCATGTTTGTGAATGAATTGTATGATGAAGAAGGCGATTCCAGTCCCATCATAGGTTACCTATAATGATCTGCAGCCAGAAAGAAAATAAAAGCAGAAAACATGGAACAACAGCAAAAAGTTGATAGGTTTATCGCCATAGATTTGCTTGAGTGTTTCGTAACGTACATATTTAGATAGATTTTATTTAAAATAATCAGTGCATATATCCTTAAAATAACGAAGTATAGTGTGGTTCGAGATTAATGACGTATAACATAAAGAACTCACAATATAAGTTTTAAAAAATGTAAGAGCAAAAAATATCAACATGAATGTATGTTCGATAAGTGTGCTTATTAGCAACAGTATCCATACATTTAAAACGGGTATAATTTCACTAGTGGAGTGGGATAAAAGACACTATGAGAAGCAAGGAAATAACTGATGTCTTACATGCAGTAATGTCTTTTCTGTTCATGCCTTATAATAAACCATATAACTAATCTTATGAATCTTTCAATAATCCGTCTCAGCCTTCGCTTGTTGTCTACATAGGTTTGTTTTTTGTTTCATATAGGGATGATTGAAGGGAATACTGACCATAATGAATTACTAGTTCAGAGGCTACATAAAGTCCTTCGTCCTTTTTTGTTACGGCGTCTCAAAGCGGATGTTGAGCGTCAACTTCCAAAGAAGTACGAACATGTTATCATGTGTAGATTATCAAGAAGACAACGGTTTTTATATGATGATTTTATGTCACTTGGAAGGTAATCTGTTTTATAAATTGTTTTTTTCAGTCTCTCGATCGTATCTTTTAAACATGTAATTAGGTTCTGGGCATTGAGTTCTAAAATAATCTTATCTTTATTACATTTCTCTATTTCTGTAATGTATTCGATGTTGATGGTTGTTTGATCCATATTTACAGATAACCGTTTGATTAAATCTGAATTTAAGTGTATTTGTTACTATAAATATTTCAGAATGTAGTTACTTATGTTAGCTTCGTACTTAATAGGGCCATTATTGTTTTCTCAACTTCGGAACTTCTTGGATTAGTGGTAGTAACACAGGGATTACTAGACTACGTCTACACAAAATATTGTCTTTTAGTCTCTTCGCGTGTCAGAATTCACCAATGGTATGCTTAAGTAAGATTTGCTTTTTCTTTATTATTGAGTACTCATCATATTGTCTGTTCCGCTTTAAAATAAATTGAGGCTAAATATTTTTTATGAATGTGTTAGTGCCTTCCTTTTCTTAAGCTCTACACAATTTTTATTGACACGTTACGAGGTATCTAAACCACTGCGAACGTCGTGAAATTCGTATAATTACTCAAAAACACTTCATGGTGCGGCTTTGAAATAGCAAGAAAAAATTTAATTCTTAGTTAATTATCTATTTGTATAACTTTTTAAAATTGTTTTTTATTCACTTGAGGTTTAAAACCTTTTCGTTGCTTATTCTATAGCACTCAGGAAACTTTAAAATCTGGCCAGTTCCTATCAGTTATGAACATACTTATGCAGCTACGAAAGGTTTGCAATCATCCAAATCTGTTTGAAACTAGGCCAATCATTTCTCCGTTTCGGGTAGCCGATTCATATTTAACATATTCTCTTCCAAGATTACTGGTATCTATGAGTCACCCCTTCTTAGTATTTGCCCCGAGCTCGAATGGTAGTCGAAGTGTTTTTGGATCAGCTTCAGCATTTTCTGATCCTGATTTAGATTGGTTGGATACCGCGGGATTGGTTGCTCGTCTCTTGGGACAAACGATGAATTTAGTCGAAATGGCTCGGGATTTACCAGGCTTTGTCGCAAGACGATGTCATCAATTGTGTGCGCGAGAAAACTTGATTACCATTATTGACTCTAGTGACGTAATCGATGATGGTGAGTCGTATGTGCTGTTTGATGCTTTTTATTCCTTAATGTATAACTTATGCAAGATTAGTGCTCTTTTGGAAATTAATGGGCATTTTGTTTGCAAATTATTTATCACCTTGATTTTTATATCAAATCATCTCCCACAATGATCTAAAATCACGAGGTATCGGATGTTTTCGCCATTATTTTTACTGTTGATGTGAGAAAATACGTTATTTTGGGTCTGCATGGTTTGTTTCAAGAGACTATAGTAGGATTTAAACTTTGAGTAAAGCTAACTAGACTTAAAAATTCTGACTTCGAAATGGTAACTTCCGTAGAAGACTTTTGAAATCATTCTATATTTAATTCACTTGATATTGTTTTTACTTGAATCTTCCCATTGATGTTTTAGGACTGAAATTGACCAGTCTCTTATTGGTATATGTGCATACTGTGCGTATGCCTCGATATTGCCTTAATTTACAAGCATTATAAGCAAAGATGGATAGAGACTGATCAATTTCAGTCCTAAAACGTCAATGGGAAGATTCAAATAAAACAATATCAAGTGAATTAAACTTCACCCCATTGCACAAGCAAGTGGCTATCAGGACTCAGTAGCTAAGTGGATAACGCGATGGCGTTTGAAGCGAACGGTGCTGAGTTCGAGTCCCAGAGTGAACATCAACTCTGAGATGCAGGTACATCCAGCTGACGAGTCCCAAACAGGACGAAACGCGCGTCCTGGATTCCACTGCTAGCCACTATCCATCTTTGCATTCTTTATTTTTTTGATGATTCTATTTTAGTATGATCTTGTCACATTAGTGTGTGAGTACTCAGTTAACCAATCAATCTCACAGATTTGTACCGTAGTTTCTTTGCACATAGTACTATTTGCAGTCCAAAGATTGAGTGGCACAGCGTAGTAAATCAGTATTCTCGTGGTTTAATATTTTCCATTATGCTTGTATTTTCTAATACCAACCACTGGAAACGTACCTCGATATTGATTGATTACTATCATCCACAAGTCTTCCACGTTTTGGCTTCATTTTAGGAGAGGTGGCTTCGTAGTTAAGACGATCGACTTTCCGATACGAATTTCATAGTTCAAACTCCACCCCACTTCAGTTAGGACGACGCGGTAGTATCACTAGACCTTACATTTGGAGTGGAGCTCGTGCCCATGTACCTAGTGAACAAGTTAATCTAATTTATTTCTAATACTTTAGTTATTGTATCAACAAAGCTATCTTCTCCAAACTAGTGTCTATATTAATTTTTCAGCAGTTACTGAAATAATCATGAACTTATAACATGATCATTGGTAACTATTCGACTTTCTCATTCTTTGAAGGCAAAATCATTTCGATTATTGTGTAATCAAAGACCATAGATAATAAAGGCTATATACTGTTTCTCGCCATTTCATTTTTCTTCGTGTATTAATATCCTGATGTATACAGGCTTACAAACCTGACAGAACTAGCGGTTTCATGTTCTATTGCAACCCTTCTTATTATGGTATTAAAACGTTTCATTCATTCTTAAGTATTCTGTCTACAGATACAATGTAAAAGTAAAATGGTTTTCGTACACATCATACCTCTTAGAAATAATCTCATGTAGACAAGTGGATTTCATACGTACTCTTAATCTGTAGAATTAGCATTCCTTGCATAATTTAATTCGTAACAATAATGTAAGTTATATACAGGCGACTAGTTCAGCAGGGTCAGCTCGCATCAGCACCAGAATTAATGAAGGGGTGGGAAGTAGTGGAGCCTGGTAAGCTACTAGGGAATGATGGTAAATCAGTTGATGAGGTTGTAAATCCTCGTCAACTGAGATGGTTGGGTCACGTGTTACGTATACCTGAACACCGATCAACACAGCGCGCAATGCTGAATAGTGTTGGAGACGTATGAAAATTAGGGGCGGCTGAACTGATGCATATATGTACCTAGTCCTACTTTGTAGCTGACTGACTGTCTTTACAGAATGTTCATAATGATCCTGACACCAGTACTTTGAAACCGTGAAACGTTCACTTATTAATATTACTGTTATAAACAATGAATGTCATGGCATTGGCCATTAGTTTTGGCTTAGAATTGATGTGTGTCCCTTGCATTCGAAATATATTTCATAGATAATTCAAGTTTCTTTATTCCTTCGAGGCAAATCTTGCTGTTTTAAAACATCGAATTTCCACCTGAATCTTTAACATACATATAATATCTCGCTGCTCCTAATGTTAATATGTGTCGTTTATCTTGTAGTCACTTCTCAGAGAATACAGTTTAACGAATTGAAGAAATCCCGAAAATCTCAAGGAGAATATCTGAACATATCCCCTTTATTTGATTCAAAGTGTTTTGTGTATTGTAAGTATCCGTTACCGTTGTATTAAATCACCATTGAGTGAATAGTAATATTTGCTTCACAATTTTTTCGGCCATATCACTTTTACCAAGCTTTCATATGGCTACTCATTAGTTGCAAGTAATCCGTTACTCTTAACTGATACCTTTATAGTTTATCAGACCTCATAGAATTAGTTGAGCTTATTCAATACGATTTTGATTCGAAAATACTAATTACTTCTAAACAGATCGGCGTTGGCGATGGTATCTGTAGTTGCTAGATTACCATATATTTTATGTAAACCTTTGTGTTTGCTTTTGTTTATTTTTGAAACATATCTTTTATCATAATTATTTTTGTTTCCAATTCCTCCAAGTTATATTTATATCATAGAGTATACTACGTTGTGTAACCTACTATCAATTTGTCAAATTTCAGTAATGCTCATGGCGCTTTAGTAGGCCAAATGCTTATGAATCAACGACCCCTACTGTTTGAATCTTGATATTTTGCAAGCCTGTGCAATGCACTATTGGGATGTACATTATACTTGCATTAATTAAATCATATGGATATCTCCACTTACCAACTTGTTTATGTCACTTTATTCCCCCTTGCTACTCTCATTTATGTTTTCATATCTCTGGTTCATTAAAATTACACCTAACCTCTGCCTTTTTTTTATTATTTTGTGGTCTTTTATTATTAGCTGCTTTAAATTTTTACAAATGACTGAGACATTGATAGATTTTATTTATATTACCTATCTTTTGGTAATTGTGAATAGTGTTTGTGTTAATTCTATTGTCTGACTTGACTTTGTCAGATCTGAGTATCTTCCGGCCTTATTGTACTTCCAGTTCATTTCTTAGTAGGGACGTTGTTGTATATTGTTCTTTTATTATTCATGTTATACCTGTATTTACAGCATTTCAGTTTTGGTTATCATTAAAAAGCAATTGTTTCCACTTTGGAAAAATGCTAACACGGGAATATTTCTGATATGCCGACTTTATCAACTACGATGACAACATAGCTATTATTTGCAAAACAGATGGGTCGCTAAAGACTTATTTTGATGTCTCTCGTAAAATTATTTGCACTGTCAATTCAATTCGATTGACATAGAATCTAAAATTTTAAATGAACGAGGTACATCAGTTTTAATTACGTACACTTGTCAATGAAGTTTTCCCAGTTAGAAATAACTACTTTATATTATTTTTGTAACAAAAACAAACGAACTTTGTGACATTTTGATTTAAGCATTCAACTTTGCATCAAGATTTTTTCTATATTTTTCGGTTACCGAAACCTGATTTTTTTAATGTTTTATTTAGCTGATGGATACTATCCTGCGCTTTCGTCCCCCACCAATCTCGAACCCACTATAGTTAAAGGTATAACTTTTTTACTACATTTATCCAATATCCATCCAATAATTTAATGTTATTGGAATTAGTATGTTATATTTTTGCTTGGAAAGGTTGTATTTTTTGTTTCAACTAACAGAAATTAGTTTGGAGTATATCTAAATAATTTGAGTTGTTATGTGTTCATTCAATGAATGTTTCCATGATAGGAATGAAAATTACTGAAAAAGATAATAAGAAGGCCCAAATGATGTTATAATCTATAGATCGTATTGTACACAAAAGAATTTTATATAGTGCAAAAGTTTACACCCATTCAGTTGTCATATTCTTTTTTGATCATGATAACCAAGCAAATAAATTATCGTTTTTTCTTTTTTTTTAATACTTTTTTAAGGTTTATTTTGTGTTAATTTTTACATCTGATACTAAATTTTGTTTTACAGGTTATTCGTCTTTCTTTTATCCCTTTATGCATAGTTGACTTCCCGAAAAATACCTGGGACATTGGTATGCCAAAGTCCTGCTTGCGTCGTCGTTTTGTTGAACGATGTAACAGATTGTTGTTGATGAGTAGAATTAATGAACGCCGTTGTGATTTAACGTTCAAATCACATTCAAGTGATATTGGGACGTATTGGGACCATGGAACCCACATTGGACCAGATTTGATTTTTCTCATTAATCGTTTGATGCTTGAAAAACCTGTCGAAAATCTACAGGATGTTCACATTTATCCTGGTCTCATTAATGGCGCAGTTTACTGCCAACAAAGCCTGCATACCTGGCCAGTAAAGTGCTCTCCTCTAAGCAGTATTATAAGTTCTACGGTTGACCAAATATCTTGTTTTGAAGGTAATATACATCAAATGAGTTCACTCAGTATGGAATCCACTAGCTCTAGACGTACGTCCTGGCTTCGATCATCTCGTTCTCTTCGAGAGATGTTACACAGCCCTGGTGACTACTTAAATGACTTACGCGAAATTCTCAAAAGGTAAGATTTCCGAATGTCTTTGCTTCTTAGTTCATGTTGATTGGGATCCCGACATTTCATACTTTTGCGTTTGCACACAAAGACTAAATTCGGATGGACATCAGGATTCATGTTCTTATCATCGTTAGACTTTATTGTTTTTAAATCACGCACGTAACCGCAACCCAGTAAATACTATAATCCACGAGGTCCCGATTTTTTATACTCATATTAAAGATAAAAGGGTTCCTGATAAAAACTGAACTGCTGTTCCAACTCTGCAAACACAGATGACCATCGTGATCATAAGCTACAGTTAATGGGAATTTAGTTAGAAAGATAATAATGATTTGATCTTCTTATCGTTTATTTCATTACATTGGCTTCTTATTAACTTTATGATAACAAAATACAATTATTTGTTCAATTTTACAAATATTTATTCATGATAATACAATGGATAGTTTATATGTTGTTACTCTTTGTTAAATATTCTATAACCTTCCGTTAACCGTAATATTTAGAGTATTATATTTCTCGCTACAATTTTTGTGAACTCCGTTACTGACCAGCCCTCTTTTCTATAATGTCAAAATTCCTATATTCACTTATCACAAGTTACAATCGATGCACTATACACTAACTTTTCATGGTCGTGGGGACTATTTAGTGCCAGAATACTTAGGCTAAAATAATGGTAATTATCGCGATCATAAACCTGCATTGATAGGTTGATAAAATAGTTAGTGTTTAGTGCAAACAGCTGGCGAATTACAAAAGATAAACCTATTATCTACCACTACAAAATTGTATTCTCTGTTATGTATTCCAAGTGGTTTTGTACGTTTGTGTTTTTTTTTAGTCTAATGTTTTTGCATATGTTATTTGTATACGGATAAGCGGCTATGGTTTCTCAATGTTAATAATAGCGTATTTGATGTTGTTTTGATTTTGTCGAAAAGGTAAATAACTTTGTGATATGTAGCATCGGAATACGTTAAATGTGCATTAAATTCTGTTAAATTATTATTTTATGTATCGAATAGTTAGCCCTTTGATTTCTTTCCAAAAGGTTCGTTTTTGTAGTGCCTGCTGTTATATCATCGGGTTTTACACTTCAAGTTTCCAACCATGCTCTGGAGCATCAACTTATCAATCAAGAAATTCGGATTCGAGATATGCTTCTATCCTCAGGGTGTTTACATCCTTCGTTTTTTCCTATGAACTCATCTGAATATCATGAGCGAAAAACGTTGAACCGTTTAACAACTTGGAGTCCTCAGATGTGGTTGATGCCATCAAAGTTACATCAGTTGGTTATGTCCTGTCGTATTCAATTCCCCGATCCACGTCTGATACAATACGACTGTGGTGAGTTAGTAATATTTAGTCTGATTTCATTCCATACCAGACTTCTTAACATAGTTATTTAAAAACTACTTCATATAATTTGTTATTATTGAGCAACTAGATAGTGAGTTTAGTGTTAAGATATAAAGTGTAACGAAGTACGTAATTCGGTATTCGCAAAGTTATATTACACATTATTACATATTTGGAGCATATTAGATCATTTAACTTCCCTTTATATACTACTCGTACATGAAGTAAATACATCCTTCGAATTAGTTATCGTTAGTTTCAATGGTAAACCAATTAAACTCTGCCTTGGGAGTTGAAGAATCTTCATTCAGAGGAATGATGACGCCTCATATCGAAAGCCGATATTCTTCGTATCCCACGAGGCCGTTCTCCCTTTATAATAATCAGAGCCACAATTAACATAGATACATGAAATGTCCGGATAATGTGGAAGACCGGGAGGACCAGTCGAATAACCGTGGAAATGAGGAGATACAACTTGGCGGTGCTCGTAATAAGTGAAACTCACTGGACACAAGTTGGACAGAAAAAATCAACTACGGAAGAGGTGCTGCCGTGCTTTCATGAAAAAATGTTTTGCGCACACAACATGAAGATCACTCATAAGACAGGAATCTCATGGATCCAGGGTTACCAGGTCATCTTTCAAAATAGAGGAGGGAATTACAATGAATTTCATTCGGTGCCACGAACCCACTAATCAAAGCAAGAAAGACGATACAGATCAGTCTTATGAGAGGCTTCAGTCGGTGCCCAGGAAAGGACTTGACCATCCTGGCGGGAGATCTAGACGCCAAAGTCGGAAAGGACAACATCGGGCATGAAGATATCGTGGGATGACATGAACTGGGAGAAGGAAACGAGAATCGCCAAAGATTTGTAAATTTATGTGAATACGATGAAATGGTTATATGTGACATTATATTTCCTCACAAAGCTACATTGGTCTCGCCGGATCACACTACAAAGAACCAGATCGGTCACATTTATATCAATAAAAAAATCTGGGCCGCAAAAAGCATCATCATAAAGAATGGACCTCTATCGAAACCGTGGGTAGTATTCAAGTACGAAAAGACAAGAAGATAGAAATAACAGCAGTCAAAAAAGAGCAGAAAAACTCAAGGTAGAGGCCTGGTACACAGAAGCAAACATTGGAGTGATGAGGATCGTTAGAACCGACAAGTAGAAATACATGGAAGAGCTAGCAATGACAGCGGAGAAAGCTTCAAGAGAAGGAAATGTGAGACAGTTATATGATACAGCAAAGAAGCTGGCAGGGAAATATACCAAACCAGAACGACCAGACAAGGACAAAGAAGGTAAGCCAATCACTGAGATTTATGAACAGGGGAACATATGGGTAGAATACTTTGAGGAACTCTTGAATAGGCCAGCTCCATTGAATCCACCGGATATAAAAGCAGCACCTACAAACTTTCTTATGGCTGTCACTCCACCAACGATCGAAGAAATCAGAATGACCATCTGACAAAGTCAGTCAGTCAGTAACAACGTAGAACTTCGTACGTACATATATCAGTTCGAGCTGCCACACCACATTAGCACAGAGATGCAGTTATCGATTCTAATCTCGTAGTGGTAGAGGCGGTAAGAGTATATGCAGTTATCAGGAAGATTAAGATGTGAAGATGTTATTCAAGGAGTATAATCCAGTGAAATCAATTCGGAAAGAGGAAAAAAAGGGACTTGAAGAATTTAGAAGATCAGAATTTGGGAGAACACAAAGAGTGGATACACCTGCGCCATTGCAAACGATTTTGAGCCATGTCATTCAGGGTTTCTAACCATCGGTTGCTATCATCTCGCGGATCCCAACCAGGTAGTCTACACCCACCAATATGACTCAGTCCACTCGTCAGTGACTTCATGGACTTGTGCTATGTTTTGGTCTGGCCGCCCCTAGCTTTCTTCCAACCTACTCCTATACCATTGGACATCGCACGTCGAGGCAGTCGGTGGTTTGGCATACGTAACACGTGTCCCAGCCATCTCAGCCGATGAAGTTTCACCACTTCATCAATTGATTTGCCATCCTTACCTAGTACCCGTTTCCTAACAACTGCGTTACTTACTCGATGGTCACAGGATATATGAGCAATGTTTCGAAGACACATATGATCAAATACTAGTAACCTACGAATATGCTCTACTCTTACCGGCCATGTTTCACTGCCATAAAGTAGGACGGAACGAACTGCTGCGCAGTAAACACGTCCTTTAGTTGGTAGACGGATATCTGGCCTACGCCATAAATGATGCAAGTTGGTAAAAGTTAGTTGAGCTTTCTGTATCCGTGCTGAGATTTCATCACATACCAGACCACAATGGCTGATGAGACTTCCCAGAAAAGTGAATCGGTCGACACACTCAACTACTTCACTCCTTATCATTAGTTCAGGTGTCGATGCAATCCGATTCTGAAGCAACATTTTGCATTTTGAGGGAGAGAATCGCTTGCCGTACATGCTTGCATTGTTTCTTATAGTAGTTAGCAGACTGCATTTTGTCAGCGTCTTCACCAAATGAAACTGTCATTGGTATATTCTAGGTCAACGAGTGAATCAAGAGTGGGAAAGCAGTAGGACCTGACTATCAGCTGAAGCACTCAAGTTAGACACAGAAAGGAGAACTGAGCAAGCATGAGAACTACAGAGGCATCACATTACTGTCGGTGCCAGGAAAAGTCTTCAACAGTGTTGCTGAACCGGATGAGAAATTCAGTCGACACCCAACTTTGAGATCAACAGACCGGATTACGTAAGGATTGGTCATGCACAAACCAGATCGCGACACTACTGATCATCGTTGAACATTCGATTGAACTGATTTCGTCACTATACATCAACTTCTTTGACTATGAGAAGGCGTTTGAGAGAATGAATAGGAGAACCTTATGGGACCTTCTTCGACACTATGGTGTACCTGAGAAAATCGTCAACATCATCCGGAATTCATACAACGGACTACACTGCAAAGTCGTGTATGGAGAACAGCTGACAGACACATTCCAAGTAAAGACTGGAGTCAGACAAGGTTGTTTACTCCCCGCCTTCTTTTTCTTCTGGTGTTTGACCTGATTATGAATACCTTCACATCTGACTGGAAGCACGGAATGCAATAGATAGCTTGGATGCAACTAGATGTTTTCGACCTCGCTGATGACCTAGCTCTTCTATCCGATAGGATACGCAAGGTACACAATGTTCGTTGACCGGATACCGTCAACAACAGGGTACTGTGGAAGAAAACTAACCAGCCTCGATTTGGGGAAGAAATTAGGAAAAGACGCTGGAGGTGGATAGGACGTACATTATGGAAGTCATCAAACTGCTCCACGAAGCAAGCACTAACTCGGAATCATGAGGGGAAACGGAGTAGAGGAAAACCAAAGAACAAATTGCACCGAGAGTTGGAAGCAGATATGAAAAGGGTGAATAGCAACTGGGAAGGATAGCCCAGGACAGAGTTGGATTAAGAATAGCGGTGATCGGCCTCTGCTCCTCCACGATGTGTAACGTACGTAATTGAGTAAGTTTCAGTGACCGCACTAACAAATAACTGCTCAAATCTAATTTTCGAAATTAATTATTTATGAGACAATTATGTAATTCACCAAAATCCCATTTTACTTCAACATGAACGATCATTTAATATTTTTCACTAGTGAAATTGATTTTATTCATCGTATAGCTCATGTATCTATAGTGACTACTCATTCTACTACTGTTTCTTATATCGGTGGATTACTTCATGTTTTTCTTTGCAATATGTCTATGATATTTTTCCCTAATTCAACAGGAAAACTACAACGACTACATAGTTTGCTACGTGAACTTAAGTCAGGGAATCATCGCGTTCTTATTTTCACTCAAATGGCCCGAATGTTAGATATTCTAGAGCAATTTCTGGCATACCATGGACATCGTTATTTACGTCTGGATGGAACTACGAAAGTGGAACAGCGTCAAGTTTTAATGGAGCGTTTCAATCAGGATAGTCAAATTTTCGTTTTTATACTATCTACTCGTTCTGGTGGTTTAGGAATCAACCTTACTGGAGCTGACACAGTTATATTTTATGATTCCGATTGGAATCCCACTATGGATGCTCAAGCGCAAGATAGGTAATTCTATCAGACCAATGTGTTTATATTTTTTATCACGAAATGTTAATGTCGATTTTTCCAAATACGTTACATAATAATGCACGTTTTTTGACTTAAAACTACAGAACATCTTTTCCAAGGTTCCTCATTCCTAATTGGATTTTCCAAACCACTATAAAAAGCATTACTACAGAGACTACAAAACCACATCGAGAATAGCATAATTCTCGCTTTCTATTTGCCGCATGATGCACAAATGACAGTACTGGAATACTCAGTTTTTAGAGTCAAACTGTTCTGATCCTTTCTTTCTAATGCAAATAAGAAAAACAGTCAAAAATATTAATATCCCAAGATAAAACAACTTCATCTGTTGTTTAACGTTCGTAACAAATGGGATCTTTGAAACAGTTGTTGAAGTCAGCATAGTTAAGCTGAGTGACTTTTAGGAGCAGGCCTGATCAATTCATCAAGATAGTAGCTCTCACTCGGATAAACATTTGTCGAATCTAGTTTAGCTAATTTCCCGTTTCGTATCATAGTCCGTAAAACAGCGTATTGTATTCTTAAAATTGAATGAGTGCATTTATACCGTCCAACGAATAATTGTTACAACGCAATTAATATTTTAGGAAGTCATAAACAGCAGAGGTTGTATTCCGAACAGGGTTAAAGACAAACATCACTAAAATCACACTGAATATTGTACATTTTAGGTGCAGACTACTCAGCTAAGTATAATAATACTCGATTGATAATTCTAAATGATGGCACAATACTAAAACACGTCCCATTATGAGTGGATAATAGTTGGTCATATGGGGAGGAGACCTGTCCGGTAGTTATTTTGCCCATATACATCTTATTCGCGTGCTTTCCGTACTTTTCAGCCGATTTTTTTCAGTGGTATAAATTATCATGATTAAAGGAGGGATATAAAATAAATGTAGTCAGTCAAAAAGCGAAATCAAACACATACAAAACGAATTAGTAATAGATTGCAATATTTATAAAGAGATTACAATATTTTCCGATTAGTTGAACAACTAAAGACTAGGTCCACTCAGGTTAAATTGGGACAAAGTAGTAGATATTTTAGATTAGACATGCCTAATTACTTATTTTGCTGTGGTTATGACTAATGCCATATAATAAGCTTTCATTTAATTTGTATTATCGGGTGCATATTCTTATCAAAAATAAACAAAACGTATGAAAAGATCTCCAGCAATCTGTTTACAGGAGATACTATTAAAGGAATTACGGCGTGCTTTGAGTTGATTAGTAGTATAAGAATCTGATATATTGTTTATGAATCATGTTTAAATGTCAAAACGTCTGTACCCTTTCTTATTTCCAGTGTTAAATTATATAATCAAGTCAGCTCTGGAATTTAACAGGCTTTTTAATGCTGAATTCCAACAAAGGTTTATGTAAAGCCCATATTACAGAAATTCCACTTTATTAAATATTTCTTGGTCATCACATTCCACTTATCATGGGTTTTTACGATAATTTACTGTCTTTACACTAATCGTTTATAAACATGTTTTATTGTTTTATCTCTGGGCAGCTGAATTAGAAAGGATTCTTTATTACAGGTGAATCCAGTGATTATTGTGATAAAAGTGTTGAATACATATTTCCCTTCATTGTGTAAGTACATTAAGCGTTTATTTATTTCTAATTTTAGGTGCCATCGAATCGGACAAACTCGTGATGTTCATATTTATCGCTTGATAAGTGAAAGAACAGTGGAAGAAAATATATTACGTAAAGCTAATCAAAAACGCTTCCTTAGTGACGTGGCTATTGAAGGGGGCAAATTCACCACAGCTTTTTTCAAACAAAATACCATAACAGAATTATTTGCAGAGCCATCTGGACTTCAGGTTATAAAAAAACTATCTCTCATCTTAATGTATTTCAATCTTTTTTGTATTCGTATTTTTACAATGTTATTTTATTTGGTTTATTTATTAAACTGTGAAAACGTACGGGTAGGCTTCAAATTCTATTTAAAATGGGATCTAACTTAGTACCATTGTTACTGTTCTGTATAGATAGTCATTAGACGCTTTGTCAGCCATAAGCAACGTTTTAAACCTGGCACATACATGAGTCAGGCTAAATTGTCATACCACATCTATATGAGATTTTCAAGATAAACACCGAAGTACTGGTATCAATGATGATAAAGATTTCCTTCAAGATCACTTATAAGGAACGAATTCGCGAAATAAAAAGTGTAGAATAATTTTTAAAACTCAGGAAGGATAAATGGATCTAAGCCATTGTGACCGATTCTGAATCATTCAACATCTTCAACAAGTAGTTGCGAACCCTAACCAAATAATGTGAATTTACAGTGAGCAATGACTTCATGAACTGGCTTCACTTTTGCGATTAAGCCCCACCTTTAGTTTTCATCCATCCTGCTTCTACACTAGCCAACGTTTTACTTCGAGGTATTTGCCCGGAAATTTGTGCATTATAACTACACTACTTATGAATAACTAGAATTTTTTCGTTGTATTTTAATAGTTAACCATAAACAAACTGTTTTCTTATTAGTTGATACTTATTTTATCGACTCGGTCATATAAAACCGGTCTTCAGTGTCTGTAAGCCCTGTGATAGGACTATCATTGAGTACATTACCTTTAATGTGACTTTGACGTAAACTAATTGTTTGTTGCAAAATCACTTATGTATATTCTGAAGAGCTAAGGCAGTCTTCTGATTTATATGACATTGGATGCGCTGTAGAAAATCTAACAAGTGGTGTTTAGTCATAATATACCTTATCTGCAGCTTTTTTGGTGAAATTTAGTTAAATGCTACATGTAAATGTCTGATGTTTTGTTGAGCCTCTGATTCTAATATATAATTTCAGGATGTATGTATCAACATTCTTTTACAACTCTAGGTCACAGTACTAAATCTTACTTTACTTCTTACCGTTCTATTATGGTGTATTATAACCAAAGAACGATATTTATTCAGTTTCTCTTGAAAAAAACTCTAGCTTAGTATTTTAGTTAGTATATAACTTCTGACAGTCACATCTGTAAAACTTTTCCTTTTCCTGTTTGCATGTGTAACTTCAGGATTTGGCAAAAATGAAAGGATCAGTTACTCTTATGGAAACTTCTTCGCTTTCTCATTCTGATAAAAAATGCATGGATTCTAATTTCGGAAGTGTATCTCAGTCTGAAGATCGAGTTGTAGTTACACGTCTTGTCCCAGAAATTCGTCCTGATGGTTGTATGTCAACATCAACATCTGCCTCTCCACGTGGTGTCAGTGCCAATGAATCGTCGGGTCTTATATCGAATTCTGAAGCCCAGTTGGAAGCTCTGCTTGACGCTTGTGAAGAAGAAAGTGATCGTATTGCCGCCAGACGGGTGTTAGATGAGGCAAAAGTATGTCTAACTTTTCTTTAATTTGCGATTCTTTTAGTAAATTCAATTATCCAAACTTTTAAGTATAAGAATACTGAATACATCTCACTATTCATCTGCAAATCTGTATGTAAATACAATCGATTGACAACTGCACCACACCATACTCCCTGTTGAAAAGTTTGTTGTTTGCCTCAGTATAATCTCATTCATAATGTTTCAGATTTAAATGTTGAGCTGATCGATACTGCTTTATACACTTATGTCTAATATCATTCAGCAATCAAAAAATCTCCACAGATTATTCAACAAGGAATATAGAAGAGCATTATTGTTTCAGAGAGGCTCTATATTTACGAATCCGTGTTACTGATTGGAAATAGCAAGTTTCACGTCGATCGAGTCATAAGTGCTACAAAATACGTTATTGGTAATGTTCGAAAATGTTATACACCGAGAGATAAAAAATTATTTGTCTTCCAGTGTGTAGTTCTAATCAGTAAATAAAATCGTATGTAAAAGCGTACGTACGTATGTATACGTAGTGTGACGCAGTTAAGATAATAATAATAATAAGAAGAAGAATATTAGGTAAAATAAAACATATAAGCATGTAATTCGGAATAAGATGTCATAGAAAGAAATGGAAATCAAAATGGAGGGGGGAGTGAAATAATCTGTATATTTACGGACAAAATCATAACTAAAAATGGAATAATCGTATTATAGACCAAAATAAACTAAGGGGTCGAATGTATCTTTTTTGTATATATAAGTTAGGTTTTTTCAGTTTCTCCCAATTCCTTTAGCTGTTTAGAGTATGTGTTTTCTTGCGTCTTTTGATAAATTACTTGGAACGAGATATAACAGAAAGCTTTGTCCATAATCAGTTAGGTGGAAAAATGGCGACATTGATTTATTTTATCATGCTGGTACGTGTTAATGAGCACGTAAGGATAACGACCTTTACGATCAGTGTAACAGTTAAATTGATAAAGACACAGAACTCATCGGTATTTTACCCTGAATTTACTACTTCAATATTGGCTTCTTTGCAAAAGTTAAGTGGTGTTTAGTGACATAAAAGATCGTTTTAATGGATCTGCCTAATCGACGTGTTAGAATTTCACTTACTTTATCACCTTCGCAATCAATTCTTAGATATAAAGTTTTTATCTTAATTATGGCAATCTGTCTTGCATTACTAATAATATATTATGTTAGTACTTCATAGTATTTATGACTCAGTCGATGAGAAATTCATTTTATAAGATGGATTGATTCGACTTTAGTATTTAGTCTATTGTAACACAATTATGGATTTATAACTGAAGAGCCCGATGAAGAAGTTATTGGAAACAAGGGTTCACTCTAATATTATTTGTTCAGTACTATCATTTAAGTGATTCCGAATAAATAACTGTTTTTTCAATTAAATAGGCAGATTTGGCAGAATTCGAAGAAAAATCACCTTACAATGAAGACAACAATGATTCTATCATTGCTGATGATAATAATGGTTCAAATATTCCTTCTGTAACAGTTATAGAACCATTTTCTCGTCTTCGAAACTGTCTACAGCAATCGGATGAAGACAATACTGCATCACAAAATACAAATGAAACATTGGAAACAATCGAGCAAATTGTGGAACGTGAGTTACTTGGCTTCGAATCCCAGTTGAAACCTGTTGAGCGATTTGGAGTTCGGCAAGTTGAAGAACAAAGAGAACATATGCTAAATGAACAGTTAGATATGGCTGACGTAGGTTTTTGTTGCTTTCTCAAATGCATGCACTCATACATTAAGAGATTATTATTTCCCTAGATTAATCGTGTATCATTCTATAAGTGTAACAATTTTTATCTTGATCTAACTTTATTCCTTCATGTTAATATTTAAGTTCTTTTATTGCAATAAGTAATTCGGACTTATTGATCTCGCTCTTGTTAACTCATTTTGGCGGGAACCAAAACATTTATCGTACTTGTTTCACTTTTTCTAATCAATGCAGTGGATTTTTTAATGTAGAAAAAATAGATTTTTGTTAAACTGGTTGGAAAGTAATTTAGGGGTATTTCTAAGATATTTTTTAAATATTTAATCAACTTGACATTTACTGCGTTGTGAGCTTTAATGGAAAATGCTTTTAAGAAATTACTATCGTTATATTCTAACATATCGATTATAGAGCAGTTCTCATTCTTTTGAGTGAATTACTTAGGACAAAAACAGTAACTTTCAGTGATCTAAAGAGTGATTTAGCGTAGTGTTTCGGTGGATATTATAGTATGAATGACTAATATGTTTTCTTCTCAACAAAATAAATGAAATTCACACGGTTTCTATTGAAAAAGCGTATGAAATATTAACATTGATTATTTTTAAGAAAATAAATGGAACATTCGTACATATTCAATGAAGATTTTCGAAATCTCGCTTATGTGTGTTTATCATGATGTCGTCTATAAACGTTGTCACTTTCTCATGAAAGTTATATTTTCAGTTCACGTAGTTCAATCATTGTTTTTTCATTTTGATTTTAGGCCGAATTAATAGAGTCAGAAAAGGTATGGCATCTTGAAAAACTGAAAGCCTTACATGAGGCAGACGAACAGCGAGCTGATTTAGAAGATGATGACATGTTTTACTGTTGCGGTAAATATGATCTCTCCAGCCAGTTAGCTGAATTGGAACGCTTAGAGAGAATCCGTATGGAGGAAACTAATGATACAGATGCGTCGATTAACCTTTTAGATTCTGGACAGATATTTTCTAGTGGGCGATCTAAATATCCTAGGAAGCGACCATATGATTCATGTTCAACTGCACATAAAGTCCAAGCTCGACAGGTAGTGTGTCCACAACTCTCACGGACAAACAAGTCAACGAGGTCTACTAGTGTTGGAAAGGTGCCTAAACGACTAAGGTTAGATAAACCGAAGAAACCGATAGATGTAAGTTTTTTTCACATAACTTTTACATCATAATCAATTTTCGTTTCGTAAGCCATTTGGTAGTAAATGGGTTGTTGTTTTATAGATAGATTTCAAATAGTGACCGATATCACTAACTATTCTTAGTATGTTCACTTCGTAACTGAACTTGTGGATAATAAAAACACTTCGAAGTGTATCTGTTACAAGCTACCAATCTAATTAAATACTCTGATGACTGACGATAAATGGCTACATGAATAAGCTGAGAATTATCGAAGGTAAGTTCTCCGAACTCATTTGTGTAAGAAACATGGGATCACAGGTCGACTGTCAGATGATCCTTTTTTTTTAGAAAAAAAAACTGATCAATGTATAGTGTCTAATCAATATAAAACTAGTTATATCACAAAAATCTAGTCAAGGTCACCAACTACATCTTCACTTTTTCCTGTCATATCAATGGATTCTTTAACGACTTTGTTTCTCTTAAATGTTTTATACTTAAGAGTTCGGGTTTCGGAAATATAATTTGAATAGTTGAGATCATGAGTCAACTGACGCTGGACCACTATGGAAAACCGAGAAGCACTGAAACGTTCAACCGGGTCTTTTGTGCGATAGTAACTCACTGAAGACAATGGTAGATATGTCGCTCAATCTGGTAGATTAGTTGAAGTTAGATATGAACACCGTTGGTCTAGAGGTTAAGAGTTCGTGCGCGAGACCGATAGGTTCTGGGTTCGAATCTCGCGAAGCGGTATCGTGGATGCACGCTGCTGAGGAGTCCCACAATAGGGCGAAACTGCCGTCCAGTGCTTCCAGGTTTTACAAGGTGGTCTAGCTTCAAATGACTCATGATCTCAACTATTAAAATTACTATAATGTCCACAAAAACCCCTTCAAATATAATTTGCTTTAACTAAAGTCTGAAATTGTTTAAAATCTCTGATTTTTAGATCACATTCGTTAGTGACAATGAAAAAGACGAAATAAACATCAATCAAGACATCAGTAAAAGAGGCAAGTCTACAAATCAGCCAACACAAATTGACATTATTGAAAGTAGTAAAACTGGAATTAAGGCATTCGTTGAGAAAATGCATTTTCCACCGACGGTCCACACCAAAAGATTTCATAAGTCTGGTATTCGAAATAATAATCTCTATTCACAAAGTAATCATCTTCAACATAAAACTGGTGCATTTTTACAACAGGATGTAATATCTTCCAGTAAACTCAAAAAGAATTATTTATCATCTCGATCGTATCCAATTCCAGAACTCTCTGAAGAGAATGTAAACTACAAAGGATCAGAAGAGATCCATCATTTCGATCAATCACATTCGCAATACAGTAGATCAACTACTCAAACTCAGAAAAGGATAGACAGACGAAATACAGAATGTCATCTTCCAGATAAAGTGATTCGATTTGATGCGCCAAATTCTGTGATTTCTTCCAACCACTATGATCCTGAAAATGTGGCGCATGAGGAAATTGTTGAAGCTAATAATTTAGTTGAGTTACCTTTCAATCAACAGTTAAATAACGTCCTCTCAAACGCATTCGAGGCCTCTGTGGGAAGTTCAACTAAATTACAGTCCGAACGAATACCTGGTTTTCACAATATCTCTGTAAGTACATCTCTTGTCATATTCACTTAAATATTATTATTAACCAGCTTATTTCAGATGAAATTTGTTACTGAGAATCTGGGATACATTGTGTCTCAGACACGTGTGATCTAAAAATAGTGTGTTGGTAACAGTATGTTTGAAAAACTTTTTTTATAGTTACATTCTTCAGTTATAGATCATATAGTTCAAATCCCATATTTTTTTACTTAAACTTTAATATATTAACTATCAAATGATTACCGATCATTGGGGTCTCTGTGAGTTGTCTCTGGATCAATTAGTGATCTGTTTACCCTATGTTCTATGGACTTGGTGTTCTGAAGAAACGTAGATTAAGTACGATAAATTTTGTGAACAGTAAAACTAGTATCTGTCCAGATATTAACTTTTCTTATTTATTGTTATGCATTTCCTGTAGTGTGTAAACTTCATTTACACTTTAATGTTTCGTCTAGGCTTCAGAAGGACTCAGTGCTACTGGTATATCATGTACGAAATATGTTGGACCATCAACCACCACTACTCCTGGTATACATTTACAAAACAGGTACCAAAAGTCACCAGATATACCGTTCCGTTTTTTGAGCCCAACGACCCCGTTGGTTCAGCATCCTCCGGAGCCCATGATTCCTGTTCAGTCTATTCCCGATGGAAGTCATCTGAACTTGACAGCAAGACAAGTATTGGCTTCAACTGGCCAACCTGTGTTTGTAATTACCCGCCAAATGAAAACACCTTCGGGTAAGTTATGCATGCCTACTTTATTTCCGGATTTTCAAACAAGGATGATCGTCGTTTTTATAACAATTCTCATCAGTTATGTGATAAGTCATAAAATAAACCCGATGTACATAAAATATTTTAGGATATAAACAACGTTTCTTTAACTTTTTGTTTCAAATTAAGTCAAAGCATAATGGCTTCGCATGGCGATAATTTTTCTCGCACTGAAAATTTTAAGATGGATATTTGCTAAAATTTCTCATATTCCACTTTGCAAGCTTAGACAACATCGATTTATTGTGTATTCTTTAGTTTCTGATGATTATTCGTAATTCAGGCGCAACTAGCCTTGAAATTTTTATTTCATAGGCTTTAATGGTGGTTGGAGTTAGACGTAATCCTATACCATTGGTATCGATCGCTTATCTTTCTAGTTTGTAAGGAAAAACCGTATCATTCTTTCAGCAGCCAAAGAGGAATCAATTTCACTAGTGTGGCTTTTAGGACTTTAGCTTTCATAGTCATCCACATCTGACTCCATCTCAGGAATGAAAGACCAATTTTATCTTTGGTAGTGAACTTGTCTATCGAATGTTTTCGCGTCCTTTTTCCAAATATGATTACTTTACCATTTACTGTGCACACTTACAAATTACGAAGCTTTTGAGATACTTATCGTGACAATAAATGTTCAAAATGTGTTTTCTAGCTGGTATTTGTATTTGCTTTGATAACCAATTTTAAAAACTGGTTAGTTAACATTGTCTTTTTCTTGCAGGGGAAATATATCAACAACGCTTTACCCATCCTGTTGTTCCGCCATCACAGTTTACACGCATGGTTTATCGATTACAAAAGCCGTCGGGAATCTCTTCTCGAACCTCTACACTTTTAGAAACTAATCGTATTCGACAACCTCAACTACCGACCGAATCTTCAATAACTTGTAGACCGGCAATGTTGAGTAAGCCTCCTACTGCGGGCGCGTTAGTTATGAGACCAGTCGCTAAAACTGTTAATGTAAATGTGTCTCCTGATTCTGGATTACAGGATATGGCAACCTCTGTAAACAATTTTTCTCAACCTCCCCGATTTTCAGCGAATGGCATTAAGTGTGCAACGAGCATTCCTGTGATAAGAATGATTAACTGTGACGCTAACAAAACAAGTCCTATCATACGACTGGTTTCCTCAGAAACAAATCATATCAACAATGATGTGATTCATCCACATAATTCTCAGTCGGTTTCAGCGCTACTTACGCCAACTAACACTGTTCGAATCGGGAACACTGTACGACTCATTCCCAATCATATTTCCAATTCCAATGCACAGGTTATTAGGTTACAACGTGTAGTCTCCAACTTGACGCATCCCAAAAACACATGATCTCCAACTAAGAAAGGAACCAATTATTTGGTCGTCGATGTACATATATTTGTGAATATAATGTATCTAAATTGTACAATATTGTATAGTTACTTCATAAGATTTTGTCTGAAATAAAATTTTTATGATAATGTACCATATTATGGTGTAGCAATGAGATTGGTTGTATACGCAAGTACCTTTTTCCTCCACTAGTGAGAAAAAATATAATATCGAACGGTTTTATTGATAGTAAAGGGTAAAAAAGTACATAATAAATAGGACTCTGTGTTTAATATACTTCACGCATCTTTGCTACTCTGTTCTGTTTTCAAACGTTCTACGACTTGCTTCATTGCCCATGTCATTTTGATACGTTTTCGCTTTCGTTTAGTTGCCGTCCTTTTTAGAATGTGGGGTTTGTGTAATTTTTGCTTACACGATAGTGGGTTAGGTCCTTTGGTCTTCTTCCTACGTGTGAAACTTTCTTCGGAAAAACCAAATCTGTCACAAAATTGTTTGATTTTACTACACTAAAGAGAAAAATACGAAGAAATAGAAAATCGGAAGTTGTCGTGAACTGCACGAAACGAATCAGGTCGGATGCGGTCAGTCAGTCAGTAACAACATAGATCTTCGTACTTACGTACATCAGCTCGAGTTACCATACCATATTAGCATAGAGATGCAGTTGTCGATTCAAATCCCGTAGTGGTAGAGGTGGTAGGAGTATAAGCAGGGAAGATTAAGATGTGAAGATGTTATTCAAAGAGTATAATTCAGTGAAATCAATTTGGAAAGAGGAAAAAAGGGACATGAAGAATTTAGATCAGAATTTGGGAGAACACAAAGAGTGGATGCACCTGCATCATTGCAACCGATTTTGAGCTATGTCATTCAGGGTCTCTAACCATCGGTTGCTACCATTTTATTTCATAATCACATTGTGATTCTTTTAAAGGTTTCTATCTAGTATTTTATTACTTCACTAGGTTGGACTCATTTAGTGACGGTCATATTTTGGGTGGTAAACTTTCGGACAACTTTGGGAGGGGGTTGTGTTTAGAATTAGTAACCAGCTTCCTAGTTAACTACATTAAACACTAAATGCCCTGGTACGACCGGGTGAAAAGTGTCAGCTCTCTTCGAAATGCTCTCACATGGCTGCGCGTATACATCGGCTACCAGGAAAGTCCTACTCACTGCCTTCTAGCGGTGGGGTGTTGTTTACGAAATTGAGAAGACGAAAATCGAGTGTTCGGAGCTCTAACCGGGATAGTGGATACAAATGTTTCATCTACGGGAGTTGGAAAACCCTGATTCCAAACTGATGTTGTACATGGGCTCCATGATGCTGAGGAAACATGGCGTATGAACTAGTTGTTGGCCACCGGCCACTGTGGTACTGCATCTCCTAACGTTGTTCAACTGCATTGTGGATCAGACCTTTAGGCCGAAGACTCAGATTGTGGCCCCTAAGGAAAGTATCAGAGCCCATACGCAAATCAAGTGACTTGTGTGGCATTCGGTGCCCCCTTGTACCAATATCTATTTGTTCAAATAAATAAACCCAGTTGCAGTAGCTTTAGACAATCTTCATTTTAAGCTATCGATTATTACGAAAACTCGACTTTGTACGGCATATATGCCATAATCTGGTATCAATGTAATTCAACGAAGCCACCTCATATGGTGTTTCAGAAGTTTACTTAAAATATCTGCCCCCGAACGCCCTGGTACGGCCGAGAGTGGGGAGAGTCCGCTCTCCCTCTCGAAATACTCTCACACGGCCGCGCGTATACAGCCTCTGCCAGGGAAGTCCTACTCATTGCCTTCTCGCGGCGGGGGTGTTGTTTACGAAAATGAGAGGACGAAAAGCGAACGTCCGGCGCTTTAACCGGATCACAAACCAATGGTGCACATGGGCTCCAGTATCCTGCGGGAACAAATGGCGTATGAACCAATCGTTGGTCACCGGCTACCATGGGATTGCATCTCCTTACGATGCTCCACTGCCTTGTGGGTTAGACCATTAGGTCAAAGGCTCGGGGTGTGGCCCCCTAAGATAACCACCTGCTTCGGTTTGGGCACCCGGGCAGTATCACAGCCCACACACAAACGATGAACCCTATGACTATGGCAACGAATTTTCTCGCTCCGATATATAATCAATCGATTCCAATAATTATTACTATTATTGTCATTATTAATACTATTATTATTACCATTATTGTCATTATTATTATTATTATTATTAGTACCATTATTGTCACTATTATTATTATTATTATTATTTTCCACATTGTTCTCCCTCTTTTATACTTATACAGCGGCTCGTCTTTGGTGGAAATTCGACTGTATCTAAACGTTCTCGAGTCACTGTCCGGTTGAATATTGTATGTTACCACCGACTACGAGAACTGAAGCAGTTTTTCTGAAACCACGTGCACCATTCAAACTGGCTGCCTTCAACATTCGCACACTAGTGCAGGTCGGACAACAGATAGGGCTGGCTATGTCTTTGGAAAGTCTCAATATTGATGTTTGTTGTCTATCCGAGACCCGTATTCAAGACTCTGGCGAAGTACTACAAATTCGATCTCCATCTGTCGCTTCGAAAAGCTTGTTTTACGTGCGCTTATCCGGGGACCCTGTGGCATCTTCGTCTGGTCTTGCTGGCGTTGGTGTCGCACTAAGCGCTAGAGCTGAGGCAGCACTAGTTGATTGGATCCCCATTAACAGTCGGCTATGTGCTGTTAGATTAGAAAGTTCCATCAAAGTGAGAAGAAATCGGCGTGAGAAACGATGTCTTTTCGTCATCTCCGCCTATGCCCCGACAGATTGCAGCCCGGATGCAATCAAGGATGAGTTTTACCACCAGTTATCCGTTCTTCTCCAGAAAGTGCGTTCGACAGATATTGTAGTACTAGCCGGAGACTTGAATGCTCAGGTCGGGCGTCTAGGCACAGAAGAGAGTCGTTTAGGTGGCCGATGGGGACTCGTTGGTCGCAGGTCAGATAACGGGGACCGTCTACTGCAACTGTGCACAGACCACAACCTGTTTCTGGCTAGCACTAACTTTCGGCACAGTCATCGCCGATGTGCCACCTGGCGTCCTCCCTCTGCATCCCAAGCCTGGACTCAGATTGATCACATCGCGATCAGCTTCCGCTGGCGTGGTTGTGTAAAAGACTGCCGCTCCTTTTGGAGTACCTATCTGGACTCTGACCATGCCTTGGTCTGCGCCAATCTTGCCTTACTTTTCAGTGGACAACGAAGTGACCGCCACCAACGGATTGATGTTAGCAAGCTGGTTGCAACTTCTGTTGCAAATAAGTATCGAACCGAGTTAGCCTCTAGGCTAGCTACCACTCCACCGAAAAGTATAGATGAGCATTGGTTGCAATTGCTTGACGCCATGAAAATGGCGGGAACAGTCAGTTGTGGGTTTGCGAAACGTCCCGCTTTTAAGCACTGGGTTTCTTCTGGTTCCTTACATCTCATTGAAGCCCGTCGGTCTACTCCGGGTGACCGTGAGTTTGACCATAAACGAAGGATGTTACGTAGGGAAATTGGGCAAAGCTTGCGTAAGGACCGAGAAGCCTGGTGGTCGGAGCGTGCTAATGAGCTGGAAGCAGCAGCTGCATCTGGTAACTACCGGAAGCTCTTCCAGCTCATCCGAGCCACTGGCAGCAAGAAGTCTGGTGTGAGTGAAACAATCTGCGAGGATGATGGGATGCCAATCACTAACATCCATCGACGTCTTGGACGATGGGCAGAATTTTTCGAAGGGCAGTTCAACTGGCCTGCTGCTCCGGCAACATCGGTCAGGCTGTCCTGCCCTCCATGGCCGGTGACGACTGATCCACCAAACGAGGAGGAAGTCCGCAAGGAACTCCAACTCTTGAAGCGCTACAAATCACCTGGCCCAGATGACTTACCTCCGGCTCTTTTTAAAGATGGTGGTGACTTTTTGACTAAGGAATTGACGACGTTGTTTACAAAGGTTTGGGAACTAGAGTGTGTACCAACGTCATGGAATGAGTCGATAGTTGTCCCTATCTTTAAAAAGGGTTCACGTCGTTCCTGTAACAACTATCGGGGGATAAGTCTACTTCCGATTGCGTCCAAGCTATTGGCTTCCGTCATACTTCGTAGGTTGTTCAAAACTCGGGAAAGATTGACTCGCGAGGAGCAGGCTGGGTTTCGTTCTGGTCGAGGATGTATTGATCATATCTTCACCCTCCGCCAAATGTTAGAACATCGCCATACTTATCAAAGGCCAACAATCGTAGTGTTTCTTGACATCAGGGCTGCCTTCGATTCGTTGGACAGAACTGTTCTCTGGGATTGTCTATTGAAGAAGGGTGTGCCTGAGAAGTTTATTAACATCCTAAAAGCCCTATATAAAAACACCTCAGGCAGAGTGAGGGCATACAACCACCTCTCTCCATTGTTCCATTCGAGTAGTGGGGTTAGGCAGGGTTGCCCAATCTCACCATTCCTCTTCAACTTTGCCATCGATGACATTCTGGAAACAGCTCTGACGAATGTAAGTAATGGTGGTGTGGATCTGTTACCTGGAGAAAGGCTTCTCGACCTTGAGTATGCGGACGATATTGTCTTACTGTGCGATAATGCCCAAGGCATGCAATCCGCACTTAATCAGTTGGCAATCAGTGTCCGTAGGTATGGTATGTGTTTTGCACCTTCGAAGTGCAAAGTACTTCTACAAGACTGGCAGGATTCCAATCCTGTACTCACCTTGGATGGTGAGCAGATAGAAGTAGTCGAGAAGTTCGTGTATCTGGGTAGTTGCATAAGTGCTGGTGGGGGTGTGAGTGATGAGATCAATGCACGTATAGTGAAAGCCAGAGTGGCTTATGCCAATCTGGGCCATCTTTGGCGCCTTCGTGATGTTAGTCTGGCTGTAAAAGGTCGGATCTACAACGCGTCGGTGAGAGCAGTTTTGCTCTATGCTTGTGAAACCTGGCCTCTCCGAGTTGAGGACGTTAGACGACTCTCTGTGTTTGATCATCGCTGTCTCCGAAGGATTGCTGATATTCAGTGGCAACACCATGTCAGTAATGCAGAGGTTCGGCATCATGTGTTTGGGCACAGAGATGATAATTCAATTGGTGTCACCATCTTGAAACACCGACTTCGGTGGCTTGGACATGTTCTACGAATGTCGTCCCAGAGAATTCCACGTCGTGCATTATTTGCCGACTCTGGGACTGGTTGGAAAAAGCGGAGAGGTGGTCAGTGCATGACATGGTGTCGTGGTATGAAAGAAAGCTGCAAAGGACTGGCTTGTGTTGGTCCTTCACGACTCCCTGGTTGGGGTCTGAGAGATAGTGCTACACAGTGGCTAGAGACGTTATCAGATATGGCTCAGAATAGAAGCCAGTGGCGATCCTGCTGTAACCTTCTTTTACTTTCTTCATAAAAAGTGGTTGTGTCTCCCTCGCTTGAAAGATTTCTTCTGATTGTACTTTTCCTTTCCACTGTTACGACCACACTAAATTACACCAATCTCTTCGTTATCGTTCTCTTTTTCTTTTGTGCTCCTTAGTTTTTTTTTTTTGTTTTTTTTTCTATCTCTTCGAAGTTACATTGTTTTGTGTGGCGCATATATATTGGCGCTCTCTTGTACCAATATTTATGTGTTAAAATAAATAAATAAATAAACTTAAAATATCTCGTCCTAACCCAGTGGCTGTTGATTTCCTTGTAGTTCATCAAGATCGGTTACTACAGGTTGACAACTATGTTCCCAAACTTCACCTGTATTTTCATGAATCTTACATATTATGTGGATGGGTTTGATATCTTCCCACTCGATAAATTAGGTGCACATAGAAAATAACTAGTTCGTCTTTGGTTTGAAACTATGAATTATGATATGGAGTAAAAATGCAATGAAGGACCACTGAGTGCTTTAGCAGGGTTTTATAACACTGAAAGTATTACTTGAGGTGAAACTATGGGGCTGTACTGACTTGATCCACTTCCAGTTATTAGCTTGCCAGTCGTAAATTACTTCACTGTGTCTCAATAACCAAGTTTTTTTGGGTCAGTTTTGTGCGAAGACAATCTAACTATTACGTGTTCCTATATAAACGGTTTCGGTAGACAAACTAAACAGCTACAAGCTTATCCTTGACTATTCTTTTTACTGGGAACGCGCTAAACAGTTACTGCTGTTAATACAAAACCCAATGAAGATATTTAAATTATATCTATAGGAAGGTCTGAGTGCTGTTGTTCTAGGTAATCTTCACCTCCCAGTTCCCCGCATTATGACGGGATTTGAAAAGAAAACTGGTTTAGGAATGATCACAGAGATGAAATGCGATCACAGAATGCAAGGGAAAGCTGCTCAAAGACAATCACATGCGGCCTATTCATGGGAAGTTTTTGATGTGTTAGCTCAGTATTTCAAGAGGCTTTACAACTGGCAACGGAAAATGGGTGAAGTGTAACATTTTCAGGGTCAACTTTTACCAACTCATCCCGTGGTGAGGAAACAGCATCGCTTACAATCCTTGTTCTCTGAGGGAAACACCTCACTTCGGCCACATCCCTGCACAGTCAGTCAGACGACTTCGAACTATAATTCGCTTATTATAGTTTTACTGTTCTCTACCCGACCTGTCTGGCATGGTGGGCCTTAAACGAACAAGTATTCTAATATCACCTGATTGTGTCATTATGATATTCAAACCCAACCACCATATGAAGGTTGGGACTACGATCGGGATCTACTGGAGATCGTTTTCTGAAACATTTCTAGATCCATCAAGAAACGAAGGATAGCAGTAGTTAAAGAGTGACCACAGTGGACTGACCAATAAGCAAAATGAGAAACATTTGATTGAAAATAAGTTACTCTTGCAGAAAACAGTTTTTATAGCAAATCATATAAATCAGTATATGTTTTGATTTCCTTTTGGATCGCAAAGACGCTTTTTCCTTTAAATAATAAATGTAGACACTAAGTTAAGGAAAAATTGATTGTGAGTTTAAACTAAATGCTCAGTTTCTCAGTGGATAAAAAATAGACATCAAAACATGAGAAACCCTGTTATCACTTTCTAATATAAACTGCTGACAGATTAGTAGGAATCATAGTACACAACCGAAATTCCCTCATTCTTTATAGTAGTTATTCAGCAGGAAAACTTCGATTGAATACCTATTGTTTCATTAGCATCATCATTAAATGTTTCCGACACATTTCAGAGGTTGATAACTTATAACACGCCGCAACAGAAGCAATGTTGTGCATAATGATAATTAGACAACTACAGGTAACACATGAACTAGATTACTCTTGTAAGCCGTTATCTCTATGTTCTACTATGTTCAGTGAAATAAGATGACATACCCAACGTTTGGAAGTAACAAATACAAATTGATGCAACAAGTAACGTTTTTGGTCAAAAAGCTTTACTACTTGAACAGCAAAGGAAAACCTGTAGGCCACTAGTCAACTTGACACAACTTCGGCTAAATAAATCCTAATAAGATAAGTCTAAACGCTGATGATCCGAATCTACTGAACCAGGATACAACATAATGTAGTGCTTTCTGATATGATCATTTTAAGATCTTCTACTAACTTATAATTATTCCAATATAAAGTCTGAACAGTGATTGTCAATAGGGTATTAGAAATCAATGGTCAGATGATTAACGAGTACTTTTAAACACCCTACAGAGGACTTCTAACTAGTATGTCAAAAATGGTCTCGCTTTCGCTGATGTTTGATCCAATGACAATACAATTAGGTTTTATGGCGAGACAGATTTCAGCGTAAGATCAATTCCGATGAGCCAGGAAATATTAGATAAGTAGTGGTGTATGTTGACAAACAATGAGACGTCTTTTATCTATATATTTAACAAAAACCAGGTTTATCTAACAAAACTGAGAACCTTGGATACTTTAAGAAAATAAAGTGTCCACTTTACAGAAGTAAATGGCGTAATGTTTATGTGCTCGGTCTATTCTATTAATGAGGAGTCCACCGTAGGACGAAACGGCCGTCCAATGCTTCCAGGTTTTCCATGGTGGTCTAGCTTCAATTGACTCATGATCTCAACTATTGAAAAAAACACTTTGTTGGAAATAATCTCAGCTATTTAAATGATCCCAACGCTTCATTTAGCAAACTTTTCTGGACTTCTTCAGTGTAATAATCAAAATTACCCCTTTATTACTTCAAATAATCGGGTTAAGGATTTTTAAGAGGCTTTCTTTTACGTCTGAAAGTATTATTTGCCTAAGATGCTCACTGATAATCTAAAACAGATTTGCAAAAGATACTAATTACTTTCACTCAATTAGTAAAAGTGAATATGCTCAATATTTTTGTTAGGCTAAAATTGGTTTCGAACAGTTTCACTAAACTAATGTGGGGTAAATTATCTGATTATAATTTTGGTATTCGCGAAAATGGGTTCACACTAACATGATATCACTAGACAAGTAATTAGCCAAGAAATAGCACATTTTATGAAAAATGAGACGTCTTGACATTTATTTGATATTTAGATCTCCAATTAAATTAATTTGAAGCGACTGTAACGCCTTTGCAATCCTAGGAATTGAAGATCGACAGACGAAGGGGCACTTAACTACACCTAGATATACGAAACACAACAATTATACTCTAACAAATTAGCGAAATATTCAGTAAGTCTGATACCTTACCAGCATGATGTGAAAGATTGGGAAATAAACTAGTGCCTATTTTATTTCCGACTAAAGCATTAGAAAATGAAGTTAGGACAAACCTGAAACTTTTAACAAAACTCACCTCCGAAAGTGTCAAGTCCGGTGCTCGTGTAGCCTTTTGTTGAAGCAATAACGAAACCGGAATAGGAATAGACTCCAAATTGATTCGCTTGTGAGCAATGAAGAATATCGGCATTCCAGGGACAGCCCGGGCATACTGTTGCAGTAACTCGTCATTAGAAGCTAGAGCAAATAGCAAACTACCCTTTCTAGACTTAGTTTCAGAGCATTTTTTTGACCGTGCAGTGAGAATTCTTCTTTTTATGCATGAAAAAGCAGATGTGTCTTTATGAACTTTGTGTGTACACTTCAGAACTTTGTATTGTTGAATAATTTGTAGTGCTCCGGAAAACAATTGACCTAGTTTTTCACACTCTAGAATAATACATGATGATGTAACCAGAATAAATTCGCACGAAAGTGTACACTTGAATTGTTGCTCAATGTGAAGCTGTTGTACTAACGCTTGTCGTGCAAAAGTACTGTCAACCAATATTTCAAGTGGATTAGTTTTTAGTCCAAAATGAGTATCATACAAGTCAATAGTCCTCCTGTAGTTTTTAACACGCTTAGTCTTCATTTGCAGAAACAAATGAGATATATCGTCAGCACTTGTGAAATATGCACGCGTAGCTACTTCTACATTGGCTGAACGAGAATGAAAATAAACACAACTTAGCGACCTATCAGAATGACGCGGGAATTATCATTTTCACCACTACAGTCAGATCCAGATTTGTACAGTAAAGACAGAAGGCCTATGGCCTATGTTATTCCTTTCTTAGTACACTTTCATGAGTGTCCGGTCTTCACTTGAATGACGACACCACTGCTTCGAGCAACATGTCCTAAGATTAGACTCACTGTGAAAACCTGTATGCCACGGGTATTTTGTTCGTTCATGGCTTTACTACTAGCCTGCTATGTCCTCTGAGACATCCTGATCTAGTGGGAAGAAAAAAAGAGGATATTGTAGCGGTAAGTAAATTCCCTTAAAATAAATAGCCATGTAAGTTTTCGACATTAGATGCTGACCACATTAGTTTTAATGGACTCACCTAGCTGAAAGCGATCGGCCATGCATCCGCACCAGATCACTAGTGGGAACGCCATGCTCAACAAACCTATCCAATCGCTAGCCAGATTAGATCAGACGATCCTCGATCTATTGATAGCCTATCAAATATATCTTCGAACCTCCTCGCTTCTGTCTCCTGACTTCACTTGATGGGTACGATTCATATTCAAAGGTGTTACTGGTTAGAGCGTTGTCAAACTCCGCATACCTGTTGCATCTTCAATATATTAAGTGCAAAATCGTTTCTTAGTATTCTATACATTAAAATCTGATCGCCTCTTAGTCTGCGACAGGCCAGAGTAAAGAGGTCTAGCTTTTTAAGCTGCTCTTCGTGTGGTAGACCCCGGAGTTCTGGAATTGCATGGACAGCCGCCCTCTATACTTCTTCTAAGATATTCGAATCACCTTTTGAATCAGGAGCTTGCAGCCTGGACGTAGTTTTCAAGCTTTGTTCTCAGTGAGGTTGTGTATACTGTAGTGAACTTCGTGGTACCTTACTTGGTGAATGGTCGTCTTTAAGCCCAAAGGGTTCTAATCCCCTTGGCTGCAACCTCCTGGCAACGGGCTGTAGTCTAAAGATCATGACTCACTTTCACCCGAAGATCCTTGTAAGATCATTTGTTAGGATGGGCCGGAGCAACTGTTTGACAGGTTGTCTCAGCCATGAACTTGAATAACATGAGTACATGATCACTTCTCCTTAGAGATCGGAGGAAAGTTACTTGACTAACATCATCACCGTCTATGAAGACTAAGTTCAAGAGAGACGAGAAGCTTCTAAAGTCATATCTGTTGGGATTTCTAATGTGCTGGAATAAAACTAAGGCAACTGTGGTTTCTGACAATTTGCAATAAAATGACGTCACTGGTGACCCTATTTCTAAGTTTACCCAGTTTATATACGGTGCATTAATTTCGATTACGATAAGGCTTTTACCCCTATTACACCAGGACTTAAGTTTGGTTAAGAGGAAGTCATCTAGTACACATTCTGGACTGCGATATACTACAAGCAATCCAATATCTTGCCGTCTACATTTCAACTTCCAGCGTACCAGTTTGCATGTCTCTGAATCATGTACTAGTGTCTCAACTGCTAGTATATTTAAAGTACTTTTCGTGTACAGAATAACACCGCCTCTCCTATGGTATAATTTAATAACCCTACTGGATAATAAACTAGTCAACTGAGTTTCATTATCGAACACCTATGACGTTTTCCATGTTTCTGAGACAGCAATGACGGTTTTTCGGTTTTTCGATATCCACCATTGTCTTGAGCTCCACCATTTTATTTGGTAAGCATCGAGCATTTGTGTAGCATATCTCTGATTATGTGAGGAACTTTCCCTTATCACCTAGAATGGTTTGGGAATCGTTTTGCTCTGAACTTTTACAATTTGAAAACCCTTAATTACGAGGTTTCTTCCACCGTCTCGGTGGTGCTCATTAATTTATTCTTCAGCTCGTCTCTTAATACGATCAACCAGGCTGAGATCTTCACGGAAGTATATTCTAAGTTTTAGGTTTCTTTCTTCAACCGTAGCAAAGTTAACTTTCAAGAGGCGGCTTTTCTGAATACTTTCAGAGTCCGCCTTTTGTCCGATTCTATAACGCTTAAAGATGCTAACTCCTGAAACTGTTTGTGAGCGTAAATTACTTGTCAGGTACTTAATGTGACTGAGGTCTCACTCATGTCTAGCCTTTGGTTCCTTTCCGAAAGATTCTCTTAACTTATGAAAGATGACTGATCTCTCAGTGATGTCTGTCAAAATACGCTGTGCAATTTTGTTGCATGAAATAGTCTCTTCCTCGCAATCCGATTCCAATCAAACGTAGTGGTCATATTCTGTTTTCTTACCTTTATCATCCTAGGTCTGAGTGTAAACCACTCATTTACCATATTTCGTCCATTGGTCACATCCTCTACACCACTCAGACATGGTCCTGACATAGTTTGTTTTGCGTTGATATTTACTGGTTGACACCATAGCGCAAGCGAAACATGATTTTGCAACTGGTAAACCTTGATCTATAAAGAAGTGATTATAACAACATTTATTCGCCCTCTCACTCTCTGACTACGTAGCCTCATCTAAGATGATACACAACCACCCTTGCGGTGAAAAGCATCTGGCAAATAATGATTGGTTCAGAAGACTAAATGATAGTCAGTTGCAAGATAGTATGCTCATAGTGGAAACTGTGAGTGATACTGAGCGGATTTTTAAGTATGTCGAAGACAATTTCGGAAAGACGACTGACAATATATCCATAATTTGAAATATAAGGTGGCTGAACGTAATTTTTTTCTATGGTTCTATGGATTTTTAGGTTGTGGCAGCCCTTTCAACCTTGCGAATTAGTGGGAATATTTCCGTATGCTATGGTGGTGATGCTAACCGATTGGAGGGAATATCATTCAGTACTTGAGAGCAAACTGAAATTTATAAATGTTTTCCTAAAGTACTTTGCCTCGATTGGACACACAAAAAGGACAGAGGAAAGCGAATGTGTCCTGCTTACCGAGTGTCCTTAGTAATAATCTCTTCCCGTTGGTTTCAAAATATAACTATGGACGCAGAACCTCGATAATGTTTGCATGGACTAAGGAAGATGTAGTATGGATCAAGGATCATTTTAAAGTCATTATGACAAACACTAGCAAAATGCCGAAAAGTTTGTAATCGATTGTGCAGCGTCCATTGTATCTGCTGCTGAAACAACTCACCGTACTGCCCACATAGGTTTATGTTCACTTCATGTGTGTAGAGCTTTATGTAAGAAGACCCGTCATCTGATATTAAGGCAGCACTTATGTTAACCTGTTCGTGAACAATCAGTGGCTAGGTCGCATCAGGTCCAACGCATAATCAGTGTTCGCAGCAGACGTATCACCATATATTTAAACGAAAACTGGATGAGGCGAAACGGAAGATGAGCTGCAGCTTTCAACGGTGACATTGTTACTTTGCGTAACAATACGAACAACAGCGTTGGAAGTCCACATTGACAAATGAAGCGGAAGTTATATTACATCTGTAAGTAATGTGTTTACCTTCATATGAGTTTGCGCAAACCCTTTCGCTGGATTTTCGTTGTTTCAGATTTTTCAATGCCAAACTCAGTTCGTGTCTGCAAGTAGAGGAACAGTGTTGGGAGTCGGTGTTGGCGTCTGTCAGATGTATGACAAAAGTGAGGCTGTCAGAGTGAGGAAAAACGGGTGGTACCGTAAACCCATGCAATCCCCATGAGACGTCTAGGCGTGAATAGATAAAGTTTCTCAATATTATTAATTGCATCTTTCTATGGAACAATTCGTCTAGTCTGATCGCGTTAAAAAACATGTATATTTTGGTTCTCACTGCTATTTGCCCGCATGTGAATTACTTTTCGATGGCTAGGTAACCATGATGGGCGTCGGTGGTTCAGTGTTTCAGGTAACCGTGATAATTTAAACCTACTATTCATCATCGACCAAATAAATTATATCAAGTACAGTTCTCATAAGCTGTGAAGGAGAAAAAAGTCAAATAATCAGTACCCTATTCATATATCTACGATTTCGCTAACAGTGAATAGTAGGAAAAAAGTACTGCTAAAGCCAACTAACTAAGAACCTATCACTGCATTGTCTATAATTTCGGAAGATATTTCAGTTACAATTTTCAAAGCGTTTTTCAACCTCCTCCGAGTAAATATAAATCCCTAGTCAGGCTGTTTGAAGCTGCACAAACTATTCGAAGATTTATTGTTCAAATAGTACATGGTCTAGCATACCTCAACATATACATGTACGACGTATTTACTGATAGAATTTCCTGAGAGAACATCCAGAAGACATCAGGAGACTTCAAGAGCCGCTGTTTATCAACAGAGTGATAAACAGTTCTGATGAGTGCACTTAAAAAGGAATCATGATTCCATGATAAAACAAAAAGTGTACACAGTTTTGGTCTTGCCTTTTGACTTTCCATCGATCAAACGGTATCAGACATCAAACCCAAATCTAAAGCCAATGTGTTTTTCACCCTTATAGATTTTTATCGTCATTTATTCCAAATTTTGCTAGACATAAAATCAGAAAGCTTCTAACGGATTAGATTACAGTTAATGTTATGTCTGGACTTTTATCGCGTGATTCATCCACTAATCAAAATACGACTTATACAATCTTATCACTGTGCTAAACCAGTGACGTCCGACCGAGATGAACAACCTAACGTCCTTGTTGGCCCCATGTTCGCCTAGCCCATCCACTTGAGTCCAGAACAACAGTACCAGCGTCCACTATACGAATCGAGTCGAATCCTTTATTTTAGACATACTGTGTTTGTATATCAACCAAATAGACCGTAACGCACCGTAATATAGGAAATAATACTTGTAGACAAAAAAGCCAAAAAGTGGCTGTAAACGTGGGAGGCAGCAGTCAATAAACTGAACATAGTTTAAGAACAGTATGTGGTACAATAACAAATTATAGTTCAAAATTAAGGATATAATAAGAAGAATATAAATATACATAATCTAATTATTGAATAGTTATATACTACAAGAATTTATAGATAATATCAGTCGATTTATATGTCCCAGAAGTTACTCGCGATTTAATCTTCGCTCGGATATAACAGTTCACACCTGACAAAC